TTCTTCTTCTTCTTCTTCTTCTTCTTCTTCTTCTTCTTCTTCTTCTTCTTCTTCTTCCTCTTCCTCTTCCCCCTCTTCTTCTCTTTCTTCTTTTTCCTCCTCCTCCTCTTCCTTCTCCTCCTTCTCTCTCTTTCCTTTCTCTCTGCCCCTCTCCCTGCGTTGCAGTGGAGAGCTGCTTCCAAATAAACCTGCATTTACATACTTGAACTTGTCTTGTATCAGCTCACACTGCCAACTTTTAAGCATTTTTATCATTGCCAAGGCCTTCTAAAGGTCAGCGTACAGATGAATTCAGGACACTGAATTAGGGGACACTCAGGCTCCTGAGCCCCCTACCCTTTCTGAGGTCACCAGCAGCCACTTGCCTTCACACCCCAGATCCCAGCAAAACACTCCTGAACACCCTCGGCTGGCTCCTCTGTGTCTGCAGATAGGTCTCCTAAGCTGATTTGAGAGCTTCAGAAAAGAAAAAAATACGTGTATTTGGCTGTGCCACTAGGGGAATAAAGCCGGCTGACCCATGGGACCCATTCTGGGGTTTTCTTGGAACTGAACAAGGTCATCCGGAGTGGGCAAGGCAGGTCATCACGTCACCCTGGGGACTGCCTCCCGGAAACCATCTCTTTTCTGCCTCTCTCCCTGGACTCCAAAAAGAGCCCTGGAGGGTTCGAGAAACTCTGCTATCTTTAGGACCTGGAGGATCCGAGTGGGGGGTCACCCTCCCCGCCCCCAGCAAAGTCAGCATCCGGAACTACTCTAATGGGAACCAGCCGACAGAGCTCCGGGAGGGCTGCGGGCTGGGTGTAGGAATCCTGCAGACCTCAGTGGGACCTCAGAGGCGTGCGCCCAGCTGAGGACGTAGGGGGTGGGGTGGTGATGGATAGAGGAGGGGCGAACCTGACCTCAGGTCTTGCCTCCGATCCCCAAAGGCCGGGATCTAGCCCTCCCCTGCCGGGCTCGAGTAGAATTCGGGGTGTGCTCGTGATGTCCAATGGAGGGCGGACTCGGGCTCCCCCAGTACTCCAGATCCTTTGGCCCACCTTGTGCTCGCCTTGGGCTCTGGAGCCAGGAACAGCGGGAGTGTCAGGGAACAGGACCCGACCTTGGCGGCTGGGAGGGTCGCACGTGAAGAACGTGAGAGCGGTCCCCAGCTGGGGTCCCGGACAGCATCTGAGTTCTGTTCCCGGAGGACGTCTTGGGGTGAGGGTTGGCGCGAGGCCCGAGAAGTGGGAGGGGACAGGTTGGGGGGTGGTCTCTGAGGAGGAGCCAGGCTGGCCTGCATTGTTCAGCGCTCGCCTTCCCGGGTTCTTCTGCCCGCTTCAGACCCCGTGGGCGCACCCCATGGTGGAGGCGCCTCCCTGTGCCCCGAGACGGTTTTGAGTAGGGGAGGTCTCACCTGGGGCTCTGCATCGGGGCTGAGGGAGTGGAGGACATCGGTGGTGAGTCGGTCCCTGTCCCCCGAGGCGCTGCGAGCCTCTTCAGGAGCGGGGGCGCCCGGGTCCCCCGCGATGGCCGCTGCCCGGCCGGGCCCCACCAGGACCACCAGCGGACGCTGGAGCACCGCTCTCTAGCCGGGCGCAGCCCCTTCTTACCCCGGCCCGGAGATGGGGAGCAGCGGGTCGGCGCTGAGGGTCTGTGCGGACCACCGCGGGGGCATCAACTGGCTGAGCCTGAGCCCGGACGGGCAGCGCCTGCTGACGGGCAGCGAGGACGGCACGGCTCGCCTCTGGAGCACCGCGGACGGCCGGTGCTGCGCGCTCCTGCAAGGTAGACCGGCGCGCGTGCCCGCGACCCTTTCTCCACGCTCACCTGTCCCGCCCTGGGGGACCGCACTCTCCCGGGCTCCTCATCCAACCCTTGAACTCTTGGAGGGAAGCCGTGGGAGTCCGAGAGTGGGCGACCAAGGCGCTTGCACCCCAGTGCAAGATCGTTTTGTCAGCCGGTTCCACGCAATCCTTACACGGAACCGGGGTCACCTTGTTAGGGACTTGCCCAGGACTGAAGGGCACCCTTGAGATTTGAAATTACCCCCTCACGCTTCCCCCAGTCCCTCCTTTTTAACCTTATCTCAGGTAGGGCCAAAAGAAAGGGGATCGATTCAGACTTCTGTGGGGTCAAATTTATCTTGCGTATTTGAAATGAAACGGGGACTATCACGCACGGAAATGTATAACGTGTCTTACGTAGCCACCTATTGGTTCGTATTCTGTTTAAATTCTGGGTGCTTCTCCACCTTGCCCCCTGCGGTCCCCCAGGCTGGCTGTTGGCCTCTGCAGTAGCACATGCAGACCTGAGGAGGCACACCAAGCTTTTTTTTTTTTTTTGCACAAGGTGCAGCTCTTTATTTCCAGCTTTTCCACCACGGTCAGCAAATGCTGGGTGGCCTGGCCCAAGCAAGGCAGCAAGGCAGAGCGTTAGCCTCCAAACGGCATCATTCCTATGCTGTCAGTTTTAAGCGAAAACAGTATAAGGTAGCTAGTTCATGGCGCCAAAGGGAGGACAGGTACTTGGGAGCTGTTGTGAAGATGGGGAATTGGCTACATCCCTCTCCACACACAGCCAGCACCCACTCACAGGCCCCACAGAGGAGGAGGGCTGTTAGCTTAAGTAAAACAGGCATTGCTTCCCAAAGAAAGGACTGTCTGGGGTTGTTAGGAGTGCAGGTTCCTAGGCCTGATTCCAAAGATTTCCCAGAGGAGAACCTTGGAACTGGCTTTTGGTTTGATTTTGGTTTCTTGAGACGGAGTTGCATGTCACCCTCTGGTCTCAAACTCAGTCTTAGTTGGGCTCACTGTTGCTGCAATGAAACATCACAGTCAAAAGCAAGTTGGGGAGGAAAGGAATTATTTGGCTTAAACTTCCCCAGTACGGTTCATCATTGAAGGAGGGCAGGACAGGAGCTCAAACAGCAGGAACCTGGAGCAGGAGCTGAAGCAGAGGCCTTGGAGGGTGCTGCTTACTGGCCTGTTCTTCATGGCTTGCTCAGCCTGCTTTCTTATGGAACCCAGGACCACCCGCCCAGGCATGGCCCCACCCACAATGGGCTGGGCCCTCCCCCATCAATCACCAACTAAGAAAATGTCCTCCAGGCTTGCCTTATGGATGGATTTTCTCAACTGAGGTGCCTCCTCTCAGGTGATTTCAGCTTGTGTCGAGTTGGCATAAAACTATCCAGCACACTCACCTTGTACCTTTGAATCGATCCTCCTGCCCTTCCCCAACCCCCCCCCCCCCCCCCCCCCCCCCCCCCACGCCCTCCCCAGCCGCCTCCTGAATACCTGAGATTAGAGATGCTACGCCATGCCAAGCTTGCCTGGAGTTTTCAGTTGATGTTCACCGGGCTTTCCGTGGCTGCAGGGCACAGCCAGCCTGCGGAGACTTTATGCCCATGACTCCAGTGGTACCCCTGTTTGTCAAAGAGGGATGCCTGACCTAGCCTAGTGGAGAGCCAGCCCACTGAAAGGGAAACTGTTGGAGATTCCCTGCTCAGCCTGTTCTTGCCAGGGTTGAGTCTAGGGCTTCTCTGTGTAGCCTTGATTGTCCTGGACTCACTTTGTAGACCAGGCTGGACAGTGATTTGCTTGCCTCTGCCTCCCCAAATTCTGGGATTAAAGGCGTGCGTGCGCCACCAGGGTTGAGTCTTACTAAAGCCTGGTATTTCAAAAGTGCAAGGGACCCAGCGTGGTGGAGAACTCTTTTAATCCAAGCCCTCTACTCCTAGCCCTCAGGAGGCATGTAGATCTGGTCTACAAAGCAAGTTCCAGGACAACCAGGGCGACACAGAGAAACCCTGACTCAAAAAACAAACAAAACAAGCCAGGCATTGGTGGCGCATGCTCTTAATCCCCGAGCTGGAGAGGCAGAGGCGAGCAGAGCTTGTTGAGGCCAGCCTGGTTTACAAAGCAAGTCCAGGACAGCCAAGGCTCCACAGAGCAACTCTGTCTCGGAAAACAAACAAACCTGCAAGAATAAAGGGGACAAAGATTGTCTTTTTTTTTTCTATTGTTAAAATCCTGATTATGGGCCAGGTTCAGTGGTGCACGCCGGTAAGCCCAGCACTCGGGGAGGCGGGGCAGAGGGGCAGGCAGATCTCTGAGCTCAAAGCCAGACTGTTCTACAAAGCAAGCCTAGAACAGCCAGTCTAAGGCTATTACACAGAGAAACCCCTTCTCGAAAAACAAAACAAAACCTGTTGATGACTGAACTTGTTAACATGACTGCTTAGCTTCTGTTTCACCTTCCCCCCTTCCGGAAAAAATAGTCAGACAGCTCCCCACCCGCCCACCTTTTGCAAGTGTATTGAGGCCAGAGGTTAGCCCTGGGTGTTGTTCCTCAGGAACTGCCTACTTTTTTTGGTGGTGATGGGGTAGTCTTTCATTGACTGGGAACCTGCCAAGTAGGCTGGGCTAACAGGAAATCTGCCTGTTTCTACCTTCCTAGCTCCAGGATGACGATCACATATAACCATGTCTGGGGATCAAAGTCTGGTCCTCAATGTTTATGCAGCAAGCCCTGGGCTGTCTTCAGACCCTTCCCCTTTTTTGTTTGTTTTGGTTTTTTGTTTTTGTTTTTTTTGAGACAGGGTTTCCCTGTTTAACAACCCGGCTGTTTAACAACTCGCTTTGTAGACCAGGTTGCATCCCCCCCCCCCCCCCCTTTTATTAGCTTTTTGAGACACTGTCTCTCCACCCTCCCATGTCCCGAGAGACAGGGTTTCGGTGTAGCCCTGGCCATTCTGAAAATTGCTCTGAAGACCAGGCTAGCCCTTGAACTTGGAGATCCCAGGTGCTGGGATTAATGGCATGCATCACCACTGATGCTGAGAAACTGTCTCCTTGTTTAGTCCTGGCTGGCCTGGAACTGTGTAGACCAGGCAGGCTTTGAACTTGTGGTAGTCTTCATTTTCCTTCCTCCAGCTACTAGGATTACAGATATGTGCCACCACACCTAATTAATAACGATATCTTAATGCTTCTTTCACACCTTAATTTTAAGATGTATATCTGTATACTTTATTATGTGGTTAAATTTCATAGACTAGTATCAATACCGGTTTTTTTAATTAAAATTTTTTACTTTATGTATATGGGTGTTGCCTTCATTTATATCTGTGCACTAAGTGTGTGCCTGGTGCCCACGAAGGCCAGAAGAGGGCGCCAAATACTCTGGAAATAGACTTACAAATAGTGAGCTGCCGTGTGGGTGCTGGGAATTGAATCCAGGTCCTCTGGAAAAATATCTAGTGTTGTTAGCTGCCGAGCCATCTCCCTCCTCGAGCCATCTCCACAAGCCCCGCTGAGAGCAGTTTATGAACCAGAAATGGACAAAGGCAGCCTTAAATACCGATACATAGCGTCTTGTGTTTTCCGGATGCTGTCTGGAGGCGAGGACATAGCCTCAGCATCTGGGTTTGCCCAACGTTTGCAAGGCTGGTCCATAGCAGCCCACTGCTGTGGCTACTGCTTTTCCTCAGGGTCCTGCTACGGAAAGTTGTGCTCAGGCCCCATGGCCAACCAGAGGCAGCCTTCATCCCTGTGTACTGCCTGTGAACGCAGGAATCCTTCTGGTCCTGTGGAGGGTTAACCCCTTGTGTAGCCTTAGGCTTGCAAAGGCCTTGTAATTAAAACCTTCGGGCTTTAATTGGGCCGTCCTTGATTTCTTGGGCAGAGTGGTTGGGGTGGGCGACTGGCATGTGTTTGGGCTTCCTTTTCAGTTCTCAGCAGCAGAGTCTGTCGGGACTGGAGGCTTTTCTGAGCATTTTACAGAGATTGGGGAAGTTTGGGCCTGAGGACTGGGGTGGAGACAAAAGAAAGAGGGTTGTCTCTGGGTGAATTGCTGGGCTGGCCAGTACAGAGCAGCAAAAATGGGGTGTGGAATGCTCAGGCTTCCCCGCTGTGAACAGACACAGTTAGAGGTGGGATGGCTTTCAGATGCAATGGGTGAACTCTGGTGAAAAAAGCTGGATTGGCACTTATTTGGGGAAAGAGAATTGCTAGGATGGTGATGGTCTCTAGCCTCCCTCTTTCCCCTCTGAGGAGTATCCTTGATGACACTTCCCTAGATCCTGACCAGAGAAAACCTCCTGAGAAGTCAGTGTTGTCCTGTTTGGTTCCCAATTGAATGGGGAACTTGGCCTGAAGGTTCTAGCCCACTGTGGAGGCTCCACATCCTTCTCTGGCCTTAGCGTGCTCTGTGAGCCACGGTTGGAAGTTCTGGACAGGGCTCAAGCAAAGTGCTAATGGAAAAGAGGCATATGGGCAGGGGCCGAATGAGGTGGTGGTGTAGCTGGGTTGTTGTTGGGTTTTGTTGTTTTATTTTCTTGCAAGCTAACAACTCATAAGCATTTAAATTTTATTTTTATTTTTTATTTCATGTGTAGGAGTGTGTAGGAGTGTATGTCTATGTACCACATGTGTGCCTGATGCCAGAAGAGGGCTCACGTTACAGCTGGTTATGAGCTGCCACATGGGTGCTGAGAATTGAACTCAGGTCTTCCAGAAGAGCAGCCAGTGCTCTTAAGCTCTGAGGGCGCAGAGGAGTTCCAGGAGGGCTGTCCCACACAGGGAAAGCAATAGCTACTCAAGAAGGAAAATGTCCTGTTTTAGTCACAGCAATAGGCATCTCTAGCGTTTTGGAGGCCACTGTTGGGTGAATGGTAGGCTCCCTGATGCATGTTCTGAAGGCTGAGGGGAGAGGTGGCAGAGTCATAGGAGAGGCTGTGGGGAGGGCCATGCCTGGGCTGGTGCCGAAGGACTAGGCCATGTCTTATATGGCTGATGGTGGGTAGCTGGGAGCAGATGGGTCCGATTCCCACACACAAATCCAGAGAGCTCTCATGCAACTCTGTTCCGAGTGACTGCGTCCAGGTGCCTTTGGCAATGTCTGCTCTGGCACATCTGGGTCTGTGCCAGTCAGGGTCCTGGCTTCCTTGACCTAGGGTAATTCACGAGCATCTTAAAAAGCGGACAGGGTATAAACACAAAGGGGAGCCGCTGGGTCATTGCTTCTCCTTGGGGAGATGCAGTCACATCAGCCTAGAGAAGGCGCCTCTGGGGCAAGGGGACCTGTACCGGCGGGCTGCAACCAGTCTCAGGCCGCCCTCTGTCAGAGCCCAGGCTAACATTCTGGCCTAAAGTCTCCCATTGTGTGAACCCGATTGGAAGTGAGAAGACCACGGGCCGTGCAGCAAGTGTGTCCCTCTCTACAAGTTACAATGCTCGCACCTCCAAGGCCCGGTGAGGAAGTGACAGGGAATAGAGGCCCTGTTCCATGCTGTGTCGGAGGCTTGCTGCATTTGGGGTCCCCTGTGGGTCCTAGGCCACGTCTCCTATGTGCAGAGGGAGCAGCACGTCTGGGCAAGCCCTCAGTGCCCAGGGAGGCGAGCAGGGCCGCTGCCTCAGCAGGCGCCTCAGGGCTGCTCTTCAGAGTGCAATAGCTGCATCTTATCTGCATTCTTTATCCCTTCAAAAATATTTACTTTCAGCTTGGCGTTTTTGCTTATTTTGCACAATTCCAACAGCTGAAAGCTGAGGTCCCTGGAGGTGATAGGCCTAGCACTGGCAGACACAGCTCCTCCCACCCTCTGTGGTGACCCCACCAGCCCTGGCTCTGGCCCAGCTGTCTGATTACAGTATACCAGGGTGGGGTCGGGGTTTGGGGGGGATGTGGACAAGGGGACAGGCACAGCAGAGTCCAGGCTCTCTGCTGGCAGGCCCTGACCCATGACCCAAGGAGGGTATGCTTGCTGATTGGGGAGAGAGCTATAGGAGACTGGAGAGGGGCTTGCCTTTAGCAGTCCTGAGCTCTGTGGGACCCTCACTTGGCTCAGTGCCTGATTGCAGAGGGCAGAGGGCAGGGGCTGCCAGGTCAGTCTGGCTTGCAGCCATATATGAGGGTGTTTTACATTGAAATCCAGCGCTTCCGTTTATTGCCTCTTTCCTTCGTGATCTGTGTGTTCAGTCCCCCCAACCCCAACGTGCCACACAGCTTCCCACACCTCAGGTCTGCAGCTGCCAGGCTGTGTCCACAGCCCCACCGAATCGGGGTGCTGTTGCTCAATAGCTACATGTGGCTCTCAAGTCCTTTTTCGTGGTTCAATTTATGGCTGCTTCCTGCACTTGACCCATTGTGTCGATGGGCTGTGAGCAGCTGGGCGCTGCTGGAGCAGTCCGCTCTGGGCCCCAGCCAGCCCTCGCTCAGGGTCCTTAGGGGCCATGGTGTCGACGCCCATCCAGGGTTATTAGGGGCCGTGGAGGTAATTCCCATACCAAGTCATTAGGGGGTCTTGGAGTCATGCCCACAACAGTGCCTGGTAGGCTTGGCACACCTTGGTTGCCTTTCTTGAGGTACCTCAGCCCCCATGAGGCATTGGGGCGGGTGAGGCAGATTGGTCTCAGGGAAAGTTTGTTGACAGCTTTAAAAAATATTTATAAACTCTGGCAAAAATCTGGGCTATGTTTTGCCAAACAGATTTGCCCTCAACTTTTTCATCAACTTGTGTATTCGGGGAAACACAATCTGCCATTTCTTAAGGGTTTACTTAATTCTTGCATTGTTTTCAGAGCAGCCTGGCATGTGTTCTCCAGGAAGAATGTAAGCTTTTCTTTATTCAAATTCTGTTTCTTAGAACCCAGGAAGCCAAGTTCTTCCAAGCTAAGCTTAACCCAGGACCTAAAATAAAAGTTAATCAGCTTGATCCTGCCTGGGAGATGTCTAAAATTCCTGTTTGTCTGACTCCAGCCACGAAATGGAAATTCTCAAATAAGATTAAAGGCCTGGGTGTGGCGGCACATGCTTTTAATCCCAACGGTGGGCCTGGGACGTAAGAGCAGGAGAATCAAGAGTTCAAGGCCATCTTGAGCTACAAAATCATGCAACTAGGATCCTCTTAACCCCCAGGATCCTAGTTGTAGATGACCAGCTCTTTAGCTCTCTCTAGGAAGACGCTCAGCGGCTAAGAGTGCTTGCTGCTCCCGCACGAGGAACAGAGTTCCAGTCCCTAGAGCCCTCATAAAAAGTGCTGTAACCCCAGTGCTTCGGAGAGCAGAGACAGGAGGACCACTGGGACTTGCTCATCCTCAGCCTAGTTCCGGGTTCAGAAGAAATTCTCAAGGGGACACAGAAAGTGGTAGATCAGACCTGACGTTCTCGCCACGTGTCCACTTGCACACGTACACACACACACACATAGGCTGGAAGCTGAGGCAGGATTGTGAGTTCAAGCCCAGCCTGGGCTACAAATTAAGATTTCCCCCGCCTGTATAATAGAGGGAGGGCTGGTCTCTTCCAGACTTTCCTCCGATGCTCTCTCTCCTTGATCTGCTTGCAGACACAGGAAAACAAGAGCCGGGACCTGGTCAGCTCACACTTCCTCTCCTTGTAGGACATGAGAGCTACGTGACCTTCTGCCAGCTGGAGGATGAAGCTGCCTTCACCTGCAGTGCTGACTGCACCATCCGGAGGTGGGACGTTAGGACCGGGCAGTGTCTGCAGGTGTACCGAGGGCACACGTCCATCGTGAACAGGTCAGCCAGGCGCGGCAGCGGGAGTCAGGAAGGCCGATTCGAGCAGTGTGGCTGGGTGCTTGTGGTAGCAGCGTGTTGGACCTGGGAGTCACAGGAAAATTGATGCCTAGCGTAGGGACCCTGGAAGTCATGTTGATACCAGGGGGGAACTGTGGGTGCCGCATGGGCCTCCAGACAGGCAGATTAGTCTCCCAAGCTAACCACAGTTCTACAGGCCACAGCAGATGGTTGGTGGACAGTCTGAAGGTGTCCGTAGGAGGTGGTAGAGCCAGAAGAACTCAGCTCTCAGTTCAAACTGGCCTCTTCCCAGGAAGATATCTGCCATTGGCCAAGTTTGATAGCTTGTGTCTGTTGTCCCAGCCCTGGGGAAGCTGAGGTAGGGTGATCCCTGGCTTCAGGGCCAGCTTGGGCTACAGGGTGAGCTCCAGATAAGCTCGGCCAAGAGTGAGACCCTGCTCAGAATTCCCCCTTTCCCAGTCCACAAAAACTGTCATTGAAGGAAACTGAGGCATCAGTCTGGAGCCAGCCTAGGTGGGTGAGTCATGCCTTTAGACCATCAGTGTGTGCTCAGGCTGCTGACCAGGGAACCCTCTTTAAACAAGGCAGAAACGAGGTTTGGTATCCATGCCCACACACAGGTAATATACATAACCCGCACACAAAGGCACAGCACATGGACATACCTAGACATACAACATACATGAAACATGCACATGTATGAACAAGAACATTCCTATAAACATACACATACACAATGCATACATAACTGAGATGCATTTAAAAGAACATATACATGGGACTGTCCACATACATGTGCAATCTGTACCCATCGACATGCACAGATAGGACATATACCAACACACGTGTACAGACGCTGTTTTCCATTAGTAGCAGCAGTTCCAAATCCACAATACCTAGGACACACTTCAATGATGTGTTCCCAAATGGATGAGAGCTCAGAACGCAGGTCTCTTCAGATCCGGGGGCTACATGTGAGCTTCAGGCATCCTTCGGTAGCCTAGCATCCCTGCTGTACATTGTGTTACGTCCATACAGGGCCCCCTTAACCCCTGTGTTAGTTTCTTTTCTCAATTCCTTGATCCTCCCCACCCCCCACCCCTCCCCAAAAAAAGAAGCAGCGTAAGGAAGAAAGGAAGCCAGGTAAGAGGGCACAGTCTAGCATGGCGGGAAGGCTTGGTGCAGGAGCACGAGGCCGCTGGCAGCATCATGTCCACAGCCAGGCAGCAGAGGGAAACATGCTGGGGCTCAGCCGCCTTTGCATTCAGCCAGGACCACAGTCCATGGCATGCTGGGGCTTCCCACTGCAGTTATTAACCCAACTAGACACACTCAGATGTGCTAGGGGCTCGTTTCCATGGCGATCCCAAATCTCATCACCTCGACAGATTAACCATTGCAAACCCCGGTGCCCCAAGAGCACCCTGTCCCCCAGAACATCATGGATTCTTGTCAAGGGGGTTCTGAGAAACTAGACCAGGCTGGCCTCAGGCTCAGAGACCCTCCTGCCTCTGCCTCTCGAGTGCAGGGACTGTAGGTGTGGGTCATACCTGGTGAATGGAGACTTCTTGACAAGGCTGTATAAACACGCCCTTGGAAGTTCTCTGCAAAGTTCTCTAAAGACAAGCATGTTTTTCTGGGGAGGTTGTAGCATTTGGCATTGTGAGAGCGAACTCCTCACGTAAGCCCTGTGCTGCACTATTGCCCCTTCTGATACCTACCCAGAATTCCCTGAGGCCCTTCCCTGCACCTGCTGGTTTGGTCTGTGCCCTGGAGCTGTTGTGTTCTTGTTCCTGCTGTGGGCTTTGCTGGGGAATTTAACAGCCTGCCTTGGTGCCTCCCTCAGTCACCCCTGAGCACACTCTGGTGCCTGAGTGGCAGAAGGGCTCCTAAATTCTTGCACCCTCGAGGCAGGCCCTACCAGACTGTTTTATGTGTCTGGACTGTTCCCAAGGTAGCCAGATGGTCTCACACAGCCCTGCACCTTCTCTGTTGCTTTTGTTTTGCTTTGCTTTTTGAGGCAAGGTCTCACTCTGTGGCCTGGGCTTGCCTCAAACTCACCGTGTAACCCAGGTTGGCTTTGAACTCAAGGCAATCCTCCTGCCTCAGCTTCCTGAATGTTTCCCCCCCATTTTAAACAGAAAGCCTGTGTCCCCTCACTCCTTTCTCCCCTCTTCCTCCTAAGCATCTGGCTTGGATAAAGTGTTATATGGGTCCATACACCTGAGACATGGACCCGGCAAATGTCGGGGGTGGGGGACAGAGTGGCAGAGGATGGAAGTGAGCTGTTAGAGCTTGGGAAGTGGGTATGGAGCAGCTGCACTGCCAAGGCTAGCCTAAGGCTAGCCCATGAGTGTTCCAAGCCTGACCTCCTCCCCTCTTACCCCCAGGATCCTAGTTGCAGATGACCAGCTCTTTAGCAGTTCCTATGACCGGACGGCTCGTGTGTGGACCATGGACAAAGGGCAAGCGTCCCAGGAGTTCCGGGGCCACCGCAACTGCGTACTGACACTAGCCTACTCTGCTCCCAAGGACCTGCCCAGTGATCCCTGCTTGGAGGCAGCCATGGGCGGCGGCCTCCTAGTGACTGGCAGCACGGATGACACGGCCAAGGTGTGGCAGGTGGCCAGCGGCTGCTGCCACCAGACACTTCGGGGCCACACGGGAGCCGTGCTGTGCCTCGTTTTGGACGTCTCCAGCCACACAGCCTTCACGGGCAGCACTGATGCCACCGTCCGTGCCTGGGACATCCTGAGTGGGGAGCAGCTGCGGGTTTTCCGGGAACACCAGGGCTCCGTCATCTGTCTGGAGGTGAGACCTGTCCAGTGCTGCCCGACTGCATGTCCACCCTGTTGAAGGGTGGAGATGGAGGGAACTCAAGCCCGTAAATAGTATTAGGCCGTTGGTAGCCTCAGCTCAGAGTGTCAGTCTGTTCATAGCATCAGGACATCCATTCTCTCACATGCGGAGTGGGTAGGTTCTCAGGATCCAAACATCTTCCTTGTTTGCTTGCTTTGGGGGGTTGTTTGTTTGGGGCCTTTTTGTTTGGTTGGTTGTTTTTTGTTTTTTGTTTTTGTTTTTGTATTTTTTGTTTTTCAAGACAGGTTTCTCTGGGTAGTCCTTGCTGTCCTGGGACTTGCTCTGTAGATCTTTCATATTCACAGAGATCCACCTGCCTCTGTCTCCGGAGTGCTGGGGTTAAGGGTGTTGGTCACTATGCCTGGCCCCAGCCTACCCCCACATGCTTGCTAGGGAGAAAGTGTCCACCCTGCGCTTTGGGAAAGATACATTCAATCCTAGCAGTGCAGGCCCTGCCGGGAAAATGGACCCTAAGTTGGCTGAAGAGGAAGATTCATGGAAGTGTATCCAGATGGGGGAGGTAGTGTCACAGAAGCAGCCGGCCAGAGAGGGACTTTTCATAGGCTGACCTGAGCTGAGTGTGGTTGAAAATACCTGGGCTCTTAGTGTCTTGTCGGCCAGGAGGGAATTTGAAACCAGCTTGGGCTACATAGTGAGATCCTGTCTCAAAAAACAGGGCTGGGGAGGGGCCCAAGGGCTTGCTGTCCAAGCTAAGGACCTAAGTTCATCCCAGTACCAGGTAGAAAGGCTGGGTATGGTGGCACGTCTGTAAACCCAGCTCTGGAGAGGCAGGGACAGGCGAGTCCCTCTGTCTTGCTGCCCAGACAGGATAACCTAGTGAGCTACTTGCACGGATACAGGGATGCTAGGAACATGAGCTCACATGCTTATACACACAGACACACACACACAGACACACAGACACACACACACACACACACACACACACCAACAAGACTCCTCAAGGCCTGTCCTGTGTCTCTATTTCCTGAGCCTGAGCTTCTGTCTCTGATGCTGAGACCTTTTTCTTCCCCTGGAGACAGTACTTTCCAGCTTTTAGGAGTGCAAGGAGGGTCTGCGCACGCGGCCTCTGCTGCTGTATTTGAGGTAGTATATTGTTTGCTCTCCTATTCTTGAGCACCAGCTTTCTCACTGAACAGATGCTAATGATGGCAACAGCCTTCTAGGACTCTTGCCAGCTGTGAGTGTGGGAGTAACCTGACCGTCACCTGGAGCAAGACTCAGTGTGTCCCCACTTGCCAGGAGTACTGGGGGTCACCGCTGTGGGTGAAGTTAGGGGGTAGGCAGACAGAGGGTATCTGTTTATGTCTGGGCATTGAGCTTGCCGGCTGGTGACAAGGCTTCCCCAGTGTCCTCCGGAGGCTCTGCTCCCTCTCCTGAGTGTCACCAGCTGGGGACCAAGGCTTTCCTAGGGAGTCTGTGGGGGAGCAGCCAGACAGTGGAGATGCCCTGTCTGTGTGGCGGCTGTCTGCAGGGCTGTCTGGGGCCTGGGGGTCTCTGTCTGAGGGCGCTCTGCGTTCTGGGCCCAGGCGCACCAGAGGACAGAGGAGCCCACTGCAGTCCCGTGCTACAGTGGAAAGTGGGGACACCATCTGGGCTCAGCCCGACTTCCCCATTGAGACCTGCCAGCGTTTCCTACCTCGCAGAGAACAATTTGAGGGCTGCCGGGCCATCAAGGCCAATGGGCTGATCCTCCTCTTTTTCCTACAGCTCACAGATCGGCTCTTGTACTCGGGCAGTGCAGACAGGACTGTCAAGTGCTGGCTGGCTGACACCGGAGAGAGGGTGCGCACATTCCCGGCACACAGACACAGCGTGAGCGCCCTCAAGTACCATGCGGGCACCTGTAAGTGACTTGTCCTGGCACCGCCCACGCCACCCCAGGCCGCTCACCCTACCTTTCTTTCCTGGTTTGCCTCTCTCATGCCTGCATGCTTTGTGGTAACTGAGCCTGGCTAACTTCCCATGCCACCGGTGACCTAGGTGGCGCAGGCCCCTCTCCATGCACTTGCTCCCCAAGAGGGATGCACGGAAGGTTCAAGTAGGGGCTTGTAGCTTCCTTCTCACCTTTACAAGAATGTGGGAGACCTGGACGCTCAGGGTCCTGGGTCAAAAGCATGTCTCGAGGAGCCATTTTAAGAGTCTCTGCTGACTGAGTTAGCTGGTCGCACTCAAGGACGTGTTCCAATTCTCCAGGTGAGGCAGTAACATCTTAAATGCGACCAGGCTTGAGGGCCCATGGGTTTGACCTCACCTGGCCTTAGGTTTGACAACTGGTAGGAGATCTGGGCGCTAGTGGCTGAACCTCCTCCTCCTCCTCTTCAGCACACATCTTAAGTTGAAGCAACATGGTTCAAAGGTGGCTCATGGAGAACCAACAATTGTGTGGTGTTTGAGGCAGAAGAAAGAGCAAAGGGACATTTGTTTTTGTTTTTTCTTTTTAAGCGAGTAGGTCCCTTTGAGATCTGGAAACCCCACCTGAAGTTTTGACCCCTCTGTGCAGGAGAGGTAGCGTCCCAGTCTGAGGTGGGCCATGGCTGTAGAGATGGATCCTGGCTACTCTGGGTAGAATGGCTTTTTGGGTAGGGAGGAAGCCTTCTGTCTTCCAAGTCCCACATGGTCACACCCCTGGGCCTCCATCACCTTCTCCTCAGCTTCACTGATGGCTGTCCCCTTCCTGCCTAACAGAGATGTTAGACTGCCATAGGGCGGGGCCTACAAGGCTCTTTCCAGTGGAGAATGAACTTGACTTCAAGTGAAGGTGCTGAGGGAAGAAAGAATGGACATCTGAGCCCAGCACACCCTAGACAGCTGGCCTCACATGGGGAAGTTCTTTTCCCTTCCTCCCTTGTTCAAGCCTTATTAGCATGGGCATAGCTCTGCTTCCTGGCCAGGGACCACTCTCTTAACTGAGCACAGAAAGGTTAGCTCCCAGACACTGCCAGGTGGCCTTCTGTGCCCCTCTCTTTGGTGGCAACTGGAACAGCTGCGCTGAAGTCACTCATGGGCCCCTCCCACCAACACAGAGCTTGGTTCCTGGTCTTTGCCAACAAGGCTGCAGAATGGGCTTGGCTCCCAACTTTGCCTACTTGGGGTGGCCAGCAGCCCCATGGGATCTAGACCCTACTACTGAGTTTGGAGAGTGACAAGAAAGGGACTGAGGAAATCCAGCAAGAAAACTCCCTGCCCAGGTCCCTGTGCGCCCTTGACCTTTAAGCCAACGAGAAGTTTGTGCAGACAAAGGCAGACAAAGGAATGTGTGAGAAATAGATCAGAGGCCAGGGGCAGCCTAGAGATGCTGGCTTTAGCCAGCCCCACCGTGGCAACAAGGTGGCCTTGGGTCTCTCTGTTGTTACCATAAATACCCTGTCAAAAGGCAACGTGGGAGGAAAAGGTTTGTCTTCCAGTTCCAGGTTGCAGGGAGGTCCTAGCAGAAGCTTGAGTCAGCTGGTTACAGCACGCTCAGAGTCAAGAACGGAGAGAGGTGAGGACACCCACGCTGGTCACTAATGCTCAGCGTTCTTTCTTCACTCAAGCAGTTCAGGGCCAGGCTCATAAAGTGGTGATCCCAGCCCAGGAAACGGTGTTCCCACCTTCAGTCTTCCAGCCTCCATTAACAATCAGGAAATGCCTCAGGCTCCCCTGATCTACATAATTCTGCACTCAGACTCTCTTTGCAGGTGACTGTAGCATGTGTCAAGTTGACAGCTAAAACTGAGCCTGTGGGGTTGCTGGGAACCCAGGCGCACTCCCTCACCAGGGGTACTGAAGGGTATGGATGTACACTCGTGGCCATCCTTAGCTCCTAGCCGGACCTACAGTTTCTCCAACCTCAACCCCAGCCACTGCAGTAGCTCTCTGCTCACTAACAGGCCTCATGTGGTTTCTTTCTTTTTTTTTTTTTTTTTTTCTTTTTTCCTTCTCTGTCTCCCCATTACCTCCATGCTTCCTCACTGTCGGCCGTGTGACCTGCTGGCCTCCTGTTCAGGGTCAGGGTAGCTTCTGGGAAAGTTCGTGTGGGATCATGAGCCACTGACTCCTACAGGTGCTGCTCCAGGTGGCCCTCAGCACCAGCCTTACCAGCACAGATTACAGAGGGGTGACTGGCCTCCTCACTGCACCAGAAACCATGATGTGACACCCAGCCATCTGTCTTAACCAAATATTCCAGGGACTCTGGTGTCCTCAATGCCAGAACACCACTCAGCCAGGTTATGACAGGAAAACTCCCAAGGAGGGAGGCAGGTGGGTTGTGGGGTACAGGTGAGCTCTGGAGAGTCTGGGCTCTACTTCAAGGCCACAGCCTTTTCTGAGGAGGGCGGATGTTTTGTGGCTGGTGCTGTAGGTAGAGGTGATGGATGGGCAGGGTGGAAAGCTTGCAGGAGGTGGTGAATGCCCTAGAACCACAAGGCAGAGAGAGCTGCCTATGCCAATAGGGTATAAGATGGGTACCTGGCCCTCAGAGGTTCTTGAGGGACAGGCGGCCACTAAGAACACCACCAGCTGGCTTAAAGTCAAGGAAAGCATGGCAGTCAGACTATACCACACGGATGTCCTGGGGCCCTCAGTGACCTCCCCGACTCCAGAGGAATGAGAGCTTGAGTGTCTTCACAAGGCTTCCAGATGTTTTCCAACTGACCCTTAGGAGGCCACACCACTCTCCACCCTGTCCCATTCCTGGGGAAGTGGCAGAGTGGCAGCCAGGAAGGGCCTAGTATACTGCTGTGTGTCCACAGTGTTCACAGGCAGCGGAGACGCCTGCGCCCGGGCCTTTGACGCCCAGTCCGGAGTGCTGCAGAGGGTGTTCCGAGGCCACACCTTTATCATCAATTGCCTCCAGGTAGGAGCCTTCCTGCCCAGCTCCCCACTGCCCCCTGAGAAGCAAGGGCCCACCCCAGGGAGGTGACTCCAGGGGTCTGCTCATGGCCAACAGCTGTCCTGCCTGCCCACAGGTGCATGGCCAGGTGCTCTACACAGCATCTCATGACGGTGCTCTGCGCCTCTGGGACGTACGTGGCCTCCAGTCGGTGTCGCCTCTGCCCCGCAGGCCAGCAGCCAAGCGTAGCCTGTCTCGCCTCTTTAGCAACAAGGTGGCCTGTGCGGCCCCCACGCCCCTGCAGCCAGCCTGAGTACCTGGAGAGGAGACGGTGGAAACCTGAGGCCTCGCTCCTTTTATGTTCCTGGGCTTGCAGTGGCCTGTAACAGGGCGTGCACCTGCCCTCAGAACCTTTCCCACTGTGGAGGAAGGTGCCTCTTCCCTAAGGCCTTGCCACCTGGACAGTTATAGCCAAGGCAGGAACTTTAGCTCACCTGCCTCCAGCTCTGACGGCTGAAGCCTGTGCTTGCCAGGCACTCCCTGCTGAGAGAAAATAGGCCTTCCTATAAAAGCCATGGAGCCAGATTGTCATATTAGCCAGAAATGTGCCATGAGGACCCTCCTGAAGAACTCAGATACCCCTTGGTCAAAGTGCTCTAAGTGTATTCTTTGGTTTCCTTTTGGAGGCCTACTGGCCTCTTGTCACAGCTGTGGCCTCCAATACCTGGCCTGTGTCATTTCCCCTTCTGGTTGAGAACCAAGGTCGTTTATATAGCAGTGGCCTTAGGAGAGGACAGGGAGCAAGGAACCTGCTCTTCAGTCAGCCTGCTTGACAGGAGGCCCTTCTGCCTTGGAGTACCCGTCCATCTTTTGGAGATTAATCCAGGGTTCTCTCCTCTCAAGGTCTGGAGTTAAAAGCTAGGTAGGGCCATTTGGTCTTGTGCAGAAATGCCAGCAGTATGGCCAAGTGTGGTGGAGTCACTGCACATACGCTGGAGCCATTGGGGCTGAAGAGATGGCTCAGTGCTAAGAGCACATTCACTGTTCTTGCAGAGATCATTGTTGGATTCCTAGCACCAAGCTGAGCTGTCACAACACCTGTAACTCTAGTTCCAGGGAATCCAACCCCCTCTCCTGGCCTCCATGGGCACCTGAACATAGCCATACACGAGATACAATATAATTTAAATGTAAAAATGTATCTTTTTTCTATTGATATATTGATTGCTTGAGGCAGGGTTTCTCTGTGTAGACCAGGCTGGCCTTGTATTTACAGGTCTGCCTGCCCCTCCTTCTGGTGTGCATACCACTACTACTAACAAACAAACAACCCATGGTTATCTCCCCTAGAGAGAACTCTGCCAGGAGGGGTGGCCAGAAGGATGGGCGCCTCCCTCAGTGTGGAGCCTGGGATGGGTTGTTGTGTATGGTTCTGCAAAAACACCGGGATATTCTGCATTGACCCAGCACGACCACTGGGTTTCGACTTCTCTAGCATAGCCCGTGGTTTCTAGCATAGACATGGGGATGCCCCGCGCTCTTTCCCAGCACCTGCTTATGTGCAGACTTGTTGAATGCTGAGCCACAGGTCCCCTCTGGCCGAACCAGGACAGGGTGTGGTTAGTGGTAGAGTGCCTGCCTAGCCTAAGAAGAAAGCCGGTGGTGTATGTTCAGGCGGCCAGAGGGAAGAATGGGACTTTCTACCAGACACCTGGCCAGAACAGATAGGCACAGTAGTTTCACCAGGGTAAGACAATCTGACATGTGCAGTATCAATGACCCCAGGCCAAACCTGGGACATCACTACACGGCTTCAGGCTGACTTCATACCCTAAAACCATACTTCATGCCTGCCCTGGCCCTCCAACCTCTGGGTGTTTGGCCATCTCAAGGCAAGTTCCTGCCTGCTTTGTGGGGCTCTGTGAAAGGCCTTTCCCCTCCTTCCCAAACATACGCTCTTGGTGCACCCAGAGCCACTTCCCTTCAACCCATGAACCCCTCTCAGCTGTCTCTTCCCCCTACCCTGTCCATAACAGAATTTGTACCAGCTCTCCCTCACACCCCATCCCACCAGCTGCTCACTCTCCGGCTTCAGCTCTCCCCTGTGGCCTCCTGCTGACATGGCAGTGCGGCCTTGGCTTTCAGTGCTCTCCACCAGCATTTAAACAGTTGGAAACTAGAAAATACTGCTGGTGCCATGCCCAGGACGGTGCCTGGCTGGCCAGCAGTTTGAAGGCAACTCTCCCCAGCCTGCACTTGGGAAGACACAAGACTCTGGTGGCCTGCCTCACAGCCCTTTGCCGTGTCACACCTGACCCCCCCCTTATTTTTCCCCTTTCCACAGAGACAGGGTTCTCTGTGTAGCCCTGGCTGTCCTGGACTTGATTTGTAGACCAGACTGGCCTTGAACTCATAGGGATCCGCCTGCCTCTGCCTCCCTATAAGCTAGGATTAAACACATGCACCACCACACCTGGCTTAAACCCTGGCTTTCAAATGTGTCCTCTGCTGATGCTGGAGATAGATCACATATGGGCCCAACAAGGGCTCTGCCACAGAGCCACACCCCGGCCACCAGCCTGCTTTTGAGTCAGCACTCCACTCACTCCCAGCACAGAGCAGAATGATCACATGAACATCGGGGAGCAACTCACTGCAGCTTCGCCAAAGACATTCAATTGCATTCAATTTATTTTGATCAGCATCACCACTTTCAAAGAATAGCAAGGGAGCCAGCAAGATGACTCAAGAGGGAGACTTGCCACCAAGCCTCACAACCTGAGTTCAGTCCCTGGTGGAAAGAGAGAACCAATTTCCACATGTCGTCTTCTGAATGCCCAGACTTGTGCAATGGCATGTTTGCCCCCTACCACGCACAAATAAATGTGTGTGATTAGAAAGAAAGCAAGAGACAATTATACTTGTCCAGTCTAGTCTGCTGCCAATGCTTCAGGTGAAATGAAAGGCTCTCAGGAACAGTGGCACTTGGCCCATGCCCCATCTGACTGCTACCATGCCCAGGGTGCCAGAAGGCTGTCCGTCTGGTCCACACTCAGGATGAACCAACCAAAGGCTGTCAGGCCCCTTCAGGAACAGTCTTCTGCGACCTGGCTACACAAAACCCAAGGAGAGAAAGCACATTTCAACCTCAGCAGTCTCTCAGCTGTCAGTGAGCTTTCTCTGACAGCAGTGTAGAGATGTTAATTAAAAATAACTTGCTTTGGTTAGCTTTTAAAACTTATCCATTTAATAAAAGATTTTTACTTTGTATGAGGAATTTAGAATCCAGATAAACTCTGATTTGCAATCTTGAATTTTAAGTACAGATTTACTGATCTAAGCACAAAACCCTGACATTTTAAGATCTAAGTGTCTGCTGCCATTTAGTGTGGCAACTGCAGCCTGTAACTGTTAGGCCCCACAGCACTTGGAATGGAGAGTTAAGGGGTGAGGCAGGCAGGCAGGCAAGCGAGGGCTGAGGTCAGCTTGCACAGCAGAGGTGCTGGTGGAGGAGGGCAGTTTCGGCAGCAGGATAGGAGGAGAAAAGTGCACAGGAGGGCTAGCTGAGAAGACAGGAGACAGACGCCCAGTCCCTCTACAGACCTTCCCAGGGAGCACACCCTGCCTCTAGGGAGCCTGCTTTTCAGTTCTGGATGGAACCAACGAAGTGGCAGAGTCAGGGATGCAGACCTGGAGGAGGAAGGGAACAGCAGAGCTAGGACGGGAATTCCCTCTCCTGGACTGTCCTCCGACCAACAGTCTCTTCACTATGCTGGGTCCCTGAACCTGAGGAGGAAGCCTACTTGGAGCAAAACTGTTGAAAAGCAAGAGGAACGCAAAGAAGAGCTGTATTCAGCCATTCACAACGACAGAATTTATAGGCAGAAATGTAGCACTTATTTCTGTTCAGTTGTTCTTTGCGGCAGACTTTATACTTTCTACGTAGGACAGGTACTCAGCAATAATGACTTCTTCATCTTCCAGAGTGGAGTCCAGGTAGTCCTCCTCATGCTCCGGAATATCCTCCAGGATTTCATTGACAGCCTCTGTCTCCATGTCTTCATCTGTAGAGGCACTAGAGGTTCCTGCAGTGAAACAGCACAGTTAGGTAAGCAGGACCCAGGAAGAGGGGTGTCCTTAATTGTGCCTTTGGTAGCCACCCTGTGCTGGCAGAACCTCAGGGATGCTCCCTCAGCCTTCAGGTTAGCCTCTGCCGCAGGTTCACAGCTGCCACTGGTGCAGACTCGGCACAGTGCAGCCAGTGAGGCATCCAGACATCAGACCTACCTGCAGAGTCAGATGGGGATGTGGACGGTGTGGAGGAGGAGGAGGAGGAGGAGGAGGAGGAAGAGTCCTCTCCGGAGAACTGCAGGTCGGGAGGGAGGCTTCCTCCATGATGTGCAAGGGTCTGAGCGGCCAGCTGGACATTGCCTCCAAACACCCTTAGCGCAGCTTCAGCCACTGCTGTGTCGAAACCCATGTACACCAGCTAGGAGAGATCACAGGGTTAGGACTGTGACCGTGAGCTCAGCTCACACTCATGTGGACCACCACATCTGTTTTGTCACCTCAGGGCACCACTAGGGTAACGTTGCTTCCTAGGAAAGCATCTGTAACTAAAGATCGCCTTTCTTCAGCCCTCACAGACACCAGGCCGTGCAGAAAAGGCCTCTGAAGACCTGGCCCAACAGGTCCTCCTAGGCACTCACTTTCAGGACATGAAAGCAAGTGTCATGAAAATCTAATCATGAGTATCACAAGTTAAGCGGCCACAATACATGGGTCATGCTAAAGTGAGGTATCAAGTGCAGGTGGATGAAGCCTCATGATATGCTAGGTGAGTTGAGTCTCACAGGACACAGTAACATCCTCTTAGGTCCCAGGCAGAGAAATAGGACTGATGTAGCAGTGAGCATGGGAAAGGGGCAAATGAGAACAAAGGTAAAGGGTCCCTCCTGCTGCAGTTCTTGCTGTTTTCAGGAAATCTCGCTCCATTGGCCTGGCCTGGCCTTGAACTCAAAGACCTACTGGCCACTGTCTCTAGATGCTGAGATTAAAGGTGTGCGCTACCATGCCTATCCCCTTTCCCTTCTAAAAAGCACCTCTCCTTCAGACCCCCCTATCCACATTCACTCCACTGCATATGCCAAGGTCCTCCCCGGGATGGCAGGTCCTGCTCAGAGCAGAAGCACGCACCACCCTACCACCCCAGCCAGCCTTGCCCAACACAAGAGTACAACATCTGCCACTCACTTGGTCGATGCTTTCCTGGGAAGGACTTGCTTGACGGCTGCTGTTTTCAGGATCTGAGTCTTGTAACCACCACAAAAGGGGGTTACTGAGGAGAATCTGAAAGCATAGGGGTGTCCTTTCCTCAGCCTAATGTAGCTGCACGGCCCACCATCTCATGTGTAGCCATACAGCTCAGACTCATGCGCTTGGGGGACAAATGAGTGCAGAGTGTCACAGAAGGCTGTGCAGATTGCACAAAAAGGGGCTCCTGGCTAGCCAGGGAGTCCCAGGGATCCTCTTGTTTCTACTCTCCCAGCACTAGGATAGGCCCTGCCACAGCTGGCATTTTTACTCGGGTTCTGGCCATCAAGCGCAGGTCCTCATGCATGAAAGGTAAGTACTTATAACTGGCATCTCCCCAGCTTCATGACCTCCCTGAATTAACTGTCTTCACCTCACCACTTCTTCAGATGGCTAGACTTCCCAGTGCTTTGTGTTCAACCCAAAAACCTCAAGCTTCGTATTCAAATTATATTCTGATTAAATATACATATATGAGCTGGGCATGGCAGTGCATACCTTTAACCCCAGGCACTAGGGAAGCAGAGGCAGGCAGATTTCTGAGTTTGATGCTAGCCCCAGGACAGCTGGGGCTACATAGTGAAACCTTGTCTCAAAAAAATAAAACACACACACACACACACGAATAAAAAGTGAAAAAGGGGGTATTTCTGAGGCAGAAGCCGGAGACAGAAGAGGGGTGCAGGTGGGCTCTGCTGCCTGTAGCACAGGTCCCTGCCTCTGTCCAGCCCATCTCTAGCTCTAGTCCCCATCCCAAGAGCTCCAGGACAACAGGCCCATCACCCGCTGTCCAGAGGGCAGCTCCCCAGGGCACAGCCCCTGCCCTGCCCCGTGTACCCACCTCTGTCTACCACTCATCTGTGGCAGTGCCCAAGCTGAAGCACAGAGCTTACTGTGCCTCTTGACCAAGACAGGCCAGGAAGTGCTACCACTGCTCCGTTTCTTTGGAGATTTCTTTAAAAAGCCCCCTTCACCAAGAGGTACCACAAAAAATAAAACCAGATATGCAAACAAGCATTATCTTAAGCTGAAATGTGACCCATCCCTTCAAGCTGCAAAGTACAGTCACCGATGCCCCAGGCCAGTTTCCCAGGGCCATCACTCTGGCCCGGCTGGAGGACAGCAAAGTTGCCTGTGTCTACACAGAGGCTTAGGAGGAAAGAGCACAGAAAGGGTATGGAAGCGGAGTCAGCCTGGAGGCAGGCTGGTGGGTGCACTCAGCTGTTCATACTGAAGCTGGAGGCATTACCTTCAGGGCATCATCCAGGTTGCCTCTGGCCTGGTGAAGGGCCTGTTTGGCGGCACGTGTGGAGTACCCCATTCCTCTCAGAGAGTTGATATTTTCCAGGCGGCGTCTCCTCTTCTCTTTCTCCTCCTTCCTTATTTGGGCCAGTTCCTTTAGGAAAACAAGGCCCTGTGAGTTAGTAGAGGCCACACAGGAATCTGAGGTTCTCTTCTACACTGTGTCTCAGGGTCTCTGGGCTGGTGAGCAACCAAACAAGAAGGGACCTCTACCTGTTCTTGCCAAGAAGGGTGGCCTGAAGCCCAGGGACAGGGTTAGGGTTTGGCTGAGGCCCGAGTGGAAATAGCCAGCGCTGCACCTTATCAGAAGGTAGACAGCCACAATAACTCACGGCAGGAGAGTTTCCTGTGGGGTGGAAGGTCATCCCAGCCTCGGGTTACCAGGGATTCCTATCAAGGGGCTCAGAATGTCACTTAGGGGTAGAGTGGTTGCCTAACACGAGTGACACGCTGGTTCTATCCCTAATATCAACAGAAAAAAGAGATCTAGTCCGTCTAGTTCTGTGACAAACTCAAACCCAGAGTGGCAGGAATTGAGGCAGCCGCCCCCCAGGGACTGCTCTTCTGTGACACAGGAGTGCCCTCCCAGCACCACCTGTCCCGACCAGCTCTCAGCTGGGCTCTGAGTGGTCTCAGCTCATATCAGCCTCAGTGAGAGGTCCTAGGCCAGCTGGTCAGCAAGAAGCAGAAGACTGGTGATTCATACACAAAGGGGAGGAGCAGAGACAGACGTGAGCAACCCGCTGACCTAACCCCGGGATCACTATCTCCAGGCTTTTTCTAAGACTACAACCATTCAGAAGTGCACATACGCACACACATGCTCACATGCTCATTTAGTTTTGTGGCGCTAGGCGCCGGTGTCCTACGTACCACAGCAATTCTGCACTACTTTATTTTATGTATGTGTGTGTGTCAGAGGACAACCTGTACGAGCCAGTTCTCTTCTACCATGTGGGCCCAGAGGATAAAACAGATCATAAGGCCTGGCAGGAAGGGCCTTCCCTGCTGCGCCATCTCCCTGCCCTCCCGCCACAGGCAAACTGAGCCACAGTTTGCCTCATCTGTAACTGTGGATTACCTTCACAGTGGCATCATAGGCAGTAATGGGTAGAACAGAACAACATCACAACTGAAAGAATGACTTAGAACTACTAAGTATTACACCATATTTTCAAGGAAATCACTTGAAAACAGCAGCTTCCCACTGCAGTCATGGTGGTGGAGCAGCAGGGCAGTAGAGCCACTGTCAGTGAGCTCACTCCCTGTTGTGCTGAACTAGACTGCACAGCTTCCCCTAACGTGTCCCTGACTTCTGCAGCAAGTCCTAGGGACAATGACTGGATGACAGCCAAGGGCTGACTGTTGTGCAAGGAGACAGCCCTGCACAGGCCACTACACAACCAACCCATGGTTCCACCCCTACAACAAGCAGTGGCTTCTGCCCCTTCTGAGGCCCATGGGATGCTGTACTTTACCCTGGAAAACAGGATTCACACAAGAAGGTCTGGCTGGAGGCCCTAGGAGACTCGGTTTCCAGTTTTGAGAGAAGACTGACACATGTCACTAGCTCTTTATACTTCAGTTTGTTGGACAACTGGCATGACAAGGTCCCTTCCTTCCAACATAGAATTCTCAAACTTTCTTCTGGGTGCTTACTATAAATGACTGTAGCTTTTAAGACCTCGTTTCTGTGATCTGGCATGTTTCCAGGCAAGAAGGCAATCCTGAACTATCACAGTGGCCACACAGCCACTTTGAAGCTGCCCTAGTCCAAGCCGACACGATGAAGACACTGTGGTGGGATGCAGCCCTGCCGGTAGTTGCTCGCCCAGCATGGGCGAAGCCCCAGGTCTCATCCCTAGCACTGCAGAAAACCGGGTATAGTGAATACCAGTAAGGTCCTCATAGGTACCAGCAGGTCAAGGTTACCCTTGGTTTTAGAGCAAGTTGGAGGCTAACCTGGACTACATGAGTCTCTGTCTCAAAAAAAAGAAGAGACAATGTATTCCTGCCCTCCTGACCCAGAGTCCCTTCTTATTCACACCTCTTCTGGCATTCTCTCCAGTCTTTCCACCAGTTCAGAAATAAAGTTGCAATGCCTTTGCTTCTTAACCTCCTCATGGGCACTGAAGACAGAAGTGAAAACTTACCTCTCTACGGTTGGAAATGTGAGTGGCTGCATGGTCCACGTTCCCATCACAGGCCCTCAGGCCAAGCCGGGCTTCCTGGGCAGTGAACCCCAACTGCAACAAGTTGTGAACTTTTGACGGATCAATGTACAGCTCTTTGAAGAGCTGACGTGCCTACAAACAGGAAAAAGCAGAAGAGTAACATAACAGCAACAACAGCAAAGCTTGGCAAAGCCAAAGCCCACGACTGCGGCTACCCAGTAACAATTACTGTGTGTGAGACTCAGACAGAAGCTAAGCTAGTCTGACCTGGCTGCCTTCAGAATGAAACAGACAATACTATCTCAGCCTGCATAACCAACCTATAATATAGCACAAACAGGCAGGCTGAGTGTTGTAGAAGTGCCAGAGTGACTGTTCCTTTCTTTCTGTAACACCTTCCCTGAGCTTAGCAGGCTGTGGTGATGCATGCCTATAATCCCAGCAATCAGGAGGCGAAGGCCATCTGGGCTGCACAGCAAGACCCTATTCAAAACAAAGGGGGAAAAACCCACACACCTGAGCTGCGAATGGCATCTATCTTCCTTGCAGCTGGGCTGGCTGGCAGATCACTAGGTCAACTGCATGCAGTCTCCATGTAACTGTCTGCTCTAACTCTCTGGCCCTCTCTGCTGGTGGCAGAGGCACCAGCAGGAACAACGGGAGCCAAAACCTCCAGAGCTCATGCTAGAGGGCAGGGCCGAAACTACCCAATTAAAGCCACTGCCATTTTGATGTGTCCTTATTATAGCACCTTGCCTGAACCCTCACAGGTACACATGAGGGAGGGCAAGAGAGGGAGGTGCAGGGCTCTGACAGGGCAGTGTGGGCATGACTAACAGGGCATTCCGCTGCCGAGTCACAGGTGAAGGTGGGGCCTTTCTTACCTTGTTGAGGTACTCCCGAGCCTCCTCTCCATTTCCACTGTGATAGTGTCGAATCCCCTGAAGCAAGTAGAGTCTTAAAAACAACACCTTCTCTTTCCCACAATTTCCCTGCGGTTATTGGGAGAAAGAGAATATGGTGTCTTATTTCTAATTGACGAATAGCATGCTCCCTGCTGTAACTGTCCCGTGTCTCCACAGAAGCGAAATGGCAGCACTAGAACAGCCAGGGCACCACTACTGTCACTGTGAAGACGCCCATGCAGTACCCCTTTCGCACGGAAGGAATCAGGCAGGACACCTGTCTCTAGCCACAAGTCACTGATTCTCTCCTGGGCAGACTGACTAGAAGCAGGGTCTATAATTAGTAAAGTGGTTTTAAAAAGCACCACAGAAGCAGCGAGACTAAACTGGATATGGTGGTGCACACCTGCTACCCCAGCACTCCAGAGGCAGAAGCAAGAGGATTAGCAACTCAGGGATAGCCTGGGCTACACAAGACTGTTTCAAACAAAACAAAACAAATAAAATAAAAGCCAGCCAGACTCCTAACACTAGATACCTGCTAGAGTTCTGGTTTACAAAGAGGGTATTATCTGCTCTTGCCCAGATGAGTCACCTCTGGCAGCAGTCTCCACACCTGGAAGGAATAACCGTGCCCCAGAAGTGGGCTCAGAACACCAATCACAGCGACATACTTTTATGTGGACCAGTCTCTGGTGATTCTCTCCGTAACAGTTTTTAAAGCACTTCTGCGCCAAGTTCAGCTTTTTCTCTGCATCATCAAGGCATTCCAGTTGCTCTAGGCGGAAGTAGCACCACACGATGTCCAGCTGGAGAACCGCATAGTTGTCCACAGTGTCCAGCAGCTCTTTGCACTCACTGCAAGAGAAGGCAGCTGCCACTGCTGGGCCATTCAGCCCTTTGGGGGTCCCCGGAAAACTTTTTAGCTCTTGGTGTGTTTCTAGGATTAACTAATAAGGCCTTTATTTACAATATGGATCCTCTGAACGGATAAGGATATCAGGGTTCTCAAGAGCAGCATGGTGGCTTCCAGCCCTGGCTGTGAATTATAATCACCAAGACAGAGGAGTCTTTTTCTTGGGGATACTGATGCTAAGGACCTAATTAGGGCAACAATACCAAAGCTCTCCACACCCAGAGCTGAATGTCCTAGTACTAAAATCTCCCTGGTAGAGTCTAACATGCATGAAAAGCTGACATGTGGCTTTAAAGACAGCCCAAAATCCCCAACTTCCTAAAAATGCCCCAGCTGATGACAGCTCTGACAAGACATTCATATTCAGGGACTTTCTCATTGGGAAAACAGTCTGGAAAACACCAGGCTAAATGCCTAGCTGTTCCTGAGGGCCCATACCAGGCTGAGACAGACAGAAAGGAATTAAGACACTATCATAAACTGCTTATTTATACTCTAAGTTGTGATAATGCTCAGCACATAGGACAGCCCTGGATCTCAAGACAGAACATCTGCAACCACAGTCCACACAGTTAACTCCAAAGTTTCACCCAGCTGCTTCCAATGGGATGCTGTCAATCGGGAGCTTTCTGCCTTGCTTACCAACATATGCACATCCAAGAGCTCATGAGATGGATGTTGTCATCACCACACCAGGCTGCAAACAGTCCAGTGGAGGAAAGAACATACAAAACAGGGTTTTTGTATGCTTTCTTCCCTGCCTCCTCTAACTTTCCTATTCATCACGAATGTCTGACAATATACATGCCACACACACACTTCCAGGGAAAGGGCTTCTCTAAACCTGCAGCTCAGCCTGAAAACTTGACTTTGGGAAGAGGCAGAGAAGCTGTAGGTGGAGACTGCTCTCAAATCAAAACAGATGCCCTGATCCGGACCCTGACAGGTTCACTTTCTGGGACATAATGCCAAGCCAGTCATTAACGTCTGAGGCCTGTTAAAGGCCCTTTCAATGCCTACAGGACAAGCAGCAACAGCAGGGACAGAAATGGCTTTGAGTTGAAAATAAATTGAACAGTGGGACCCAGAACTCAATTTACGTGTGGCCAAAACACAAAACCAAAAACAGATCAAAACCTCAGTCTCCAGCTGAGAGTGGTGGTGCATCCCTTCAATCCCAGTGCTCAGGAGGCAGGGGCAGGTGGCTCTTTTGAGCTTCAGGCCAGCCAGGTCTACCTAGAGTTCTAGGACAGCTAAGGCTACATAAGGAGACCTTGTCTCAATAGAAAAGAAACCAACACCTGCACACTATAATTTTGAAACTGATAACAAAAATTTAGCATAAAATCATATTTTAAAGGATAGCCAGAGCTACACAGAGAAAAGTCTGTCTCAAAAAAGTAATTTCTATTAATAATGACTTGATTTGCAAAAAGCGCTGCTATTCAACATTTTCATGTTTAAACAGCATAAAAATGAAAGCACTAAAGTTAATTTAAGATTGGTTAACAGAGGTGGCTAGAGAGATAGTTCAGTGGTTAAGAGCACTGTCTGCTCTTCCAAAGGACCCAGGTTCAATTTCCAGCACCCACATGGCAGCTCACAACTGTCTGTAACTCCAATTGCAAGGGATCTGACACCTTCCTTAACACTAATGCACATACAGTAAAATTAAATAAATTATTAAAAAGATTGGATAACAGAACTTAAAATTTTTTAAATTTCCTTTTATTTTACTTTGTGTGTGTGTCTATATGTTAACATATGTGCTCATGTAGTGCCTGTGGAAACCAGAAGAGGGTGTTGGATTCCCTGGAACTGGAGGCCCAGGTAGTTGCAGAGCACCTCAAGAGGGAGCTGTGAAATGAACCCGGGTCCTTTGTAAAGGCAGTCAGTGTTCTTAACCACTGAGCTATCTCTCCAACCCGTAGAGCTTTTTATGTTCTCCCAGTGAGTTTGACTCTTATGTAATGTGTAAAGAGAATTAACTTCAAGAATGATAAGCTGAGCTTAAGTATCTTTTTTCTCAAAGCTGGTTAAAAGTCATTCCCAGTTTTATTACTGGCTTTGAGGAAGTGGACTGTCATTGCCTTGGTATAGCTTTCAAGGCCATCTCCCATCTCTCAATAATCTTTGTTTCGTCATGCTGGACGGTCTCTCACTGCTTTCACATTTATTAATTTTTCTACCAGGCCTGCTCTGGACCCCATGCACTTCCCCGGTGGGGACTCTCTGCTTTTCTTTTTTTTTTTCTAGGCAGATTTTCTCTGTGTAGCCCTGGTTGTCGTGGGCTTTAGTTGTAGGCCAGGCCAGCCTCTGCCTCCTGAGTGCTGGTACTACAGGAGTGTACCACCACGCCTGGCTTCCACTCTTTATCACAGGATTCACTATGGGCCCTCTGCACGTCTCCCATGGCATCTCTCCCCCCCACCCCAGACAGGGTTTCTCTGTAGCCTTGGCTGTCCTAGACTGTCTTTTGTCGAGCAGGCTGGCCTCGAGTTCACAGAGACCCACCTGCTTCTGGCTCCCAGAGCACTGGGGTTTCAGGTGTGCCCGGCGTGCGCCACCCTCCTGAACACGGAATGTAGCTGCTGCCTCAATGCTTGATTACTCACTGCAGCCTCTGCACTTTCTGGGGCTGTTTCTGATGACCATCTCCCTCTTGGTCTCACTGTGGACTGCAGGTTTGTAATTGGGAAGTGTATGTTTTGGTTACTACATGCTGAGCCTTGTTAGGGATGTATTAACAGTACATGAAAACAGTGGCTGAGGCCTATTGATGAAAGGCTTGGAGGCAGGGCAGGACCACAGAGTTCTCTATACCAACACAAACTGCTCCTGATCCTCTGTGGGCACCAAGGGATGCCCCTGCTACTTCTTCCCAGTGTGTGCTGGTCATCTCACTGGAGACTCAAGGGGAGCCTTAGGCACTCTCACTGGCCTCCTTGGCTGCCTGGCTCTACCTTAGCTCAGGGTGAGTCCCTGCCTGCCTTGGCTTACCCCAAACTTGTGGGGAGCTACTGATTTCTTGATTGTCAGGCTTTTTAAGTCCTTCCCATGACAGAGGAACAGTCCTGCTGCTCCGTCCTGGCTGAAAACAAAACTCCCACATTTAGTTTCAAGTAGGCAAAGAGGGCTGTGGGTATGTCTCGAGGTAAAGCACACGGCCCTGACAGATTCCCAGCACCACACTTCTGTCTTTCTCTCTCATACACAGAACAGAAACTATTGTAGCAACTGTACATGAGATGAGTAAAAGGCATGAAGAACTTCTGCTTACTTGGAGAAAGAGGGAAAGAAAGCAGAATGCCAAGGTTTCTTCCAAGAGCACCAGGGCTCCTGTTACAGTTAACTTCCTTCATGAATAGAGATCATATAAGTGTACAAGACACACTGGCTATAACAAGCAGATTCCCATAGAAAACAGCTAATTCTTGGCCATTATGACTGCAATGCTCCCCAAGGGCCATGTACGACAGTTTGGGTTTATGTATGGTCACACTGGAAGTGAGTGAAATCTTTAAGAGCTGCTACATGGTAGAAAGTTTTATGTCATTGTGGGTGTCTGGTGGTGTGAATAGGTTTGGCCCCACAGACTCGTGGGTCTGAATGCTTGGCCCATAGGGAGTGGCACTATTAGGAGGTGTGTGGCCTAGTTGGAAGAAGTGCGTCACTATGAAGGCAGGCTTTGACGTCCCCTATACTCAAGCTCTGCCCAGAGTGGAAGAGAGCCTCCTGGTTGCCTTTGGATCAAGATGTCCAACTCTCAGGTCCTTCAGCACCATGTCTGCCTGCACGATGCCACGTGTGCACACTTCCTGCCACGAGGATAATGGACTGAATTCTGAAACTGTAAGCCAGTCCCAACCTTGGTCATGGTGTCTCTTCACAGCAATGAGACCCTAACTAAGACAGTGTCCTTGAAGGGAATTGTGAGAAGCCAGTCTTTTTCTTTTGGTATTCCAGCAACCCTAATTCCATTCCTCAGCCATGTACTCGCACCACAAAGCAGTAAAGACAGAGGGACAGGGGAAAGCAATGGGACCAACTGGTTACAAGCTAAAACCTCTAAAAACTGTGTGTGAACCAAGAAACCTTGCTCTCTATATGTGGATCACCTTGTGCCTTCATGACATAAAAGATAACCATACATACTTTAAAGGCACTGACAGTTATTACTTCATCATTACACCTGCCACTCAATGAATGTACTGATGTGGCAAACTGATGGCACGAGTATTTTTATTGAGGAGTCTTCCGAGATCTGAAAATCATTTAAATGGTTAGTCCAGGGAGAAAGGTTGAAAATGGCTAACACTGAAGAATCAAGACAACTATTTCTTGACACTACTATGGCAGAGTATGAGCCTGTGCAAGTTCAGTACAGCAGCCTTTCCCTTCAATACATCTGAAATCCTCTCTACTAACAAGGCAGGAACAGCTACACAAAGATGTGAAAACTTCTGCTCAATTTTAGGGCCTCCACTTATGTCTCCAACATTTGCATCAGAAGAGGAAACACACACACACACACACACAAATGTATATATATGTATATATGAAGAAGCAGAGAGAGAGAGGGACAAGGCAAGACCCTGAAGCCCAGACCACCTTCTCACTGCCTTGCCTCTCCATCTCCTCCGAACATTTGGGACAGTCTCTTCTTTATAAGTTAGTTTGGGCTTTACACATTTAAGCCCTATCATAAACATTTGTATTCATTTTTTGACATACAGATGATTATCATGGGAACTCACTAAACAGCAAGTCCATGAGGCTGCTGATTATTTCACAGAATCAAGTTTATCTCAAGTCCAACATGCCCAAATTACGTTCTCTACCATTCCCATGAACAGGAACTAGGAACCCTGGTAAACTGCAGAGACTATCAGCACAAGGGCAGAAGGACACTGGGGCCAGCCAAAGATGGAAAAGCTAAGCACACACGGATGAAGCACATAGATCAGATGTGTTAAAGCTCATGTTAAAAACGTGTGTGTATACATACATATATGTCCCTGGAGGCAAGGTCTTGCAAGGTAGCCATGCTGGCCTACAACTTGTGCCTCAATCTCCCAAGTGCTCAGATAGCAGGAATTTACTCTTAGCTTTACAAGTTAATATTGGTGAAGGGGAAAAAAACAAAACAAAACAGACCTCAGTTTGGTCACCTTTGAGGAACCAACTAAATTTGCAAAACTAGGAAGTTGAAAGGAGCCAGGCACTTTGCTTTTTTCCTGTAGATGCTACACTTCAACAAAATTAAAGAGCTTATGAAATAAATGCTTCATTTTAGAGAAACCCAGCAGTGACTGCAGAAGAGTGACAGTGTCACGTTTGCCATTTGCAGTGCAATGTGGCTCAGGCCAGCGCCTTCTGCACGGACGCCTCATGTAAGAACTTGGGGAGCGGTGTGATGGGCCGCTCTAGTAGCAGCTGGCTGCGGATGCACGGCCTACACACTAGGGTGAAAATGAATGGGTACTCTGCCCAGGGAAGAGGGTTGCTCAGAAATGCAAAGGAGGAGACAACCATAAAGTGGTGTGTGTCTTCACTCCCCACTCTAAGAAAGCACTATAGTGCTTCACCTATAGGGTGCAAATCAGTCTGCACTTATAGACAAGTGGGTGCCAGGGTGGGGAGTGGGGCTGTCCCTTAAACTATTATCTGCTGAATACAAAAGCACCTACCAGAAGTATCTGTCAGCATCCAGGAGGCATGGCAAGGCTATTCCATACTCTTTTCTTTTCAAGAAAGCTCTGCCCTTCTCATGATATCCCATAGCTAACATAAGGGCCTAGAACAGAATGTAAATTTTAAAACACAGCTCTTTCCAACAAAATTAGAACAGCATTAATAAAACAAATTAAAAAGCATATTAGCTTTACTGAAAAACAAGGCAAAAAACAAAGCAATTCCACATAAAAGCCAAATTAACTAAGATATAACTAGAGCTTTCTCTTGCTGAAGAACTGAGCCTCTCAAGCCATGCTCCAGGCAGAGCAGCGACAGGCTGCTTCCACCTGCTGCTCTAGATCTGTGTCTAGTTTTCAAGACTAGGTGGGAGCAGCCAGTCATTCTTGTGGCCTTTCTAAGGAGCATCTGCAGGCATGGCAGTGTGGGCTGTGATCACACGGGGACACTGAGGAAGGAGGACTACAGGAGGAGCCAGCCTGCCCTAAGTAGCAAGACTGTCCAAATAAGTAACTAAGTTTACCAAACACTCATTTTAGATTGTGTTTTGTTTTTGATTTGGGGTTCCTTGCTTATCAAGACTCGAATGTCAATCCCCCATCGCACTTCCAAAATATCTGACAATGCCAGAACGTGCAGGGCAACGTTTCTCCTTTGCTTGTGTGTATATGGGTATGCATAAGCATTTGCACCACGGCACATATGTGGAGGTCACGGGGCAACTTTCAGGATTCTTCTTCCACCATGTAGCTTCCTGAGATGGAACTCAGGTTGTGATACTTGACAGCAAATGCCTTGACCTGCTAAGCCATTTTGCTGGCCCTCCAAACCCAATTTCTTTTTCTTTTTCTGGTTTTTGAGACAGGGTTTCTCTGTGTAGCCTTGGCTGTCCTGGGCTCACTTTGTAGACTAGGCTGGCCTCAAACTCACAGAGATCCACCTGCCTCTGCCTCCCTGAGTACTGGGATTACAGGCATGTGCCACCACGCCCATCTTAAAACCTCATTTTATTGCTTTAATCTTTTATTGTATATGTGCGTGTGTCTATGTGTATGGGCACAGCTGTGCACAGAGTGTATGTGAATTAAGAGGACAACTTGTAGGAGTCAGGTCTCTCCTCTTACCATGTACGTTCTGAGGATAGAATTCAGGTCAGCCCAGCAAGAACCTTCACCTGCTGAGCTGAGTCTTTCCTCTTGTCCCTTAATTCTTAAGCAGAATAATTCAAATAGTCATTTAAATACCAAAAAGATACAAAATAAAACAAAATCCCTAAAATGACCTTGATCTCTAGTCAGAACCATTCATTCTACGAAGCCATGTCCCGCTTCCCATTCTGACAACCACCCAGTGAGCCAAAGCCCAGACTTACTTTTCTTTCGGCAGGGGGAATTTTGATCGACCTGCCTGTCTGGTTTGCAATGTCTAAGTAAGGCATCGTTTCCGGATCTACCATCTCCGCTGCAACAAAGCCATAGGAGCCTCATTAATTCAGGGTCACAGAGCAGTGACAGTGACTACACTTGAGATGCTAGACTGTGAAGAGGGATTCCTCAGCAGGCACGGCACTCTGTGAGCTGCCTTGATGTATGTCAGGGGGGTGACAAGCCAAAATCCTGTGTACCTCTCTCCGCCAGGATCTCCAGTCCCCTTTTGGTCCTCTGAATGCGCTTTTCCTTCAGCTCAGCCTCATTCTGTTCCTCTTCCTCTATCTGTAAGTTCTTCCTCACATCCTCTTCAGACTGTTTCAGCTCTAACACCATAGCCTTTACATTGTGAGTGACTCCTTGTTCTTCAAGGCTTTTCCCTGGGAACAGCAGAATTGCCTGTCACACAAACTTCCTGGGCAACAGTCCATTTCCTGTGGTAAATGGAGTTCTTTTTTTATTAATTAATTAACTTTTAAGTGAGTGTGAGTGTGTGTGTGTGTGTGTGTGTGTGTGTGTGTGTGTGTGTGTGTATGCAGGTGTGCATTTGTGTGGGCATGTGTGAATACAAGAATGTGGGGTGGTTTGTGTGAGTTGCATACTTGTGTTTGTGTACAACATGCAGAAGCTCCTTTTTTGCTTCTACCATGTGGGATCCCAGGATCAAACTCAAGTCAGCAGCTTGGCAGGGCTGTTTAACCACTGAATCATCTCACCTGCCTGGAAAATGGAATTCTAAAACCTGTATTCATTCACACTTACAGACCACATTCACTGTTTCTTATATATATATTTCTCTTCACTCTAAGACCAGACAGAAGCAATGACTACTTAAGCACACTACACCAGGCGGCATAAAAGGAAAATGAGAAAGTGTAATCCATACCCAAACTTTCCTAACCTCTAGCTGAGTAAATAACTCAAGAAGTCACAGGGCAGTAAGGACAGCAGGGACAGGGACAGCTCTGGCCATGGTGAACAGCAGAGGCCACAAATGGACCTAACTCATCATCTGTTTTTCTAGGACTCAATTTCCTCTGAGAATGAGTAGAAATTAAGACAAGAACAGAAACCCAAGAAACAGAACAAAGGGGAGTAGCCAGTCTAGTAAAAAGGTTAGGCAAATGCAACCTGAAAAAAAAGGATGCTGAAATACACATAAACAAAAAAAGAGAGGTAAGTCCATGCAGACAGATGCCAGCCTCTTCTTTATCTCCAAAAACTAAGGAAGGCTCAGCTTGGTTTTCCTTCCTGTGCTCCTGCTCTGTCCTCCCTCACTTCTGTTCTTTGTGCTCCTCTACAGCGCTTCCTTTCTTAAGTTCCTTTTCCAGAAACTTGATGACCATTCTAACATTCAAATACAAAAGTCAAGAGAAAGGGCAGCAAGTTACCTGACTAGATTTTTCTTGCAAAAATTTTTTGAGAAAGGGTTTCTCTGTGGAGCCCTGACTCTCCTGGAATCACTCCGTAGACCAGGCCAACCTCAAACTCAGAGACCCACCTGCCTCTGCCTCCCGAGTGCTGGGATTTAAAGGCATGAGCCACCACCTCCTGGCTTTAGTTTTAACAGCATCAAAATTAAGATTGTCTGTCCAGTGAAGAGCGGAACACAGGAATGAGGTGTCGAGAAAAGGCAGCTGTGGCATGTGAGGAAACAGCTAGAGGTTCTGAAAGACTGGGACAGGCTATGGTTAGAAATGTGGAACCGAGATTCCTGAGGCTCCACAGACCCTCCCTGGAGATCCATGAGACCTCGGAAACCACCTGAGCTGCTGAAGAGCGAATACTTCTACAGTTCCACTCAGGCCTTCTGCAGCCAGCATCTGTAAGCCACACACACCCGTGTGCCACTCTGCAGTATCAGTGCCTTCCATTTCCCTGAGGACAAACTCCAAACTCATTTTCACAGGCTTCTCGGCAGCACTCAACCCTTGGGCAGAAGTCTGTGATGTGGACAGCTATGGGGACTCTCTTGTATTTAGCAGCAACTCTGATCTTGACTCAGTAAATGACGAGAGTGCAGCTCCCCACAATAATTATTACAAAATGTCTCCTCAGACAGTCAGCTGCCCCCTGCATGAGGACGTTTTCCCTGGCTGAGAGTCACCGCTAGAAGACTCTCGGGGCTCCTGCTTACTCTCCACTGACACTCAGTTCCCTTGGCTGCTGGTAGAGTGCTCCAAAGTGGCCTTGTCCTTCTGTCTGTCTCAGGGTTCTCTCTTCCCTTGGAGGGAACTACGAGTAATCCCAATCCTCCCATCAGCACAGCCTTCCATTCTGGAACATTCTATGTGACTATAATGAACGTCCCCCTTCCCCACTAGCCAGAGCAGGCCAGTCAATATCTTACATTTTTATTTTGGTAAACTCTAGCACAATCAACTGTAGAAAATAAATGCAGCAAGGCCAGGCAGTTTTCAACAGCAGAAAATCAAGGAAAAGCCACAGAGCGACGAAAAGGCACTCTCTGTCAGGGCGCTCTCTGGTGTGACTTACCCAGCTGAAGCTGTTTCTTATTTATTACGATCTTGATGTAATTTTCTTGGAATCCAAAAGTTTCAGCTATTCTATAAGATAAATGCAGAGTGAGCTCCAGGAAAGCAAGTCTGTCACTTGTTACCTACCACAAAGACTTAGATTATGATGCCCACATCTCCACTTTATACCTTTTAACTCAGAAACACCCTGGCCTTCCCCCTACTGACCAGTAAGCACCACTTTACAGTAAAGCTAGCACAATGGGTGGCTGCTGGAGGACACGTGACAAGCTGTTTCTAAACTTGTTTCTGTGTTGAGGGTTACAGGGCTGTTTAATTGAGAAATGAGTCAAAAACATCTCTGCTGTACTTCGCAGTGTCCTCTGAGGACCCTGCAACTAGGGCTATTCTATACCACTGTCTACTTGCGGGCACTGAACCAGCGATAGTTTCTGATTCTCCAGCACCCACGATAGAAGCTAAAGAAGCGAGACAAATATGCTCAACAAACACTTGGCTTGGCTGGCCTGTGCTGAAGTCACAGCTGGCTCCTGCTGCTCCATTCCTCAGCCACTCACTCCAGTTCATGTTGGGCACCTCCTCCATGCACCCCACGCTGCAACCCTCCAGAAGCTGCACTACAACTAAGCAGCTCCCATGAGCTGGCCTCAGGCAGCCATGCTGCCTCTCACCTAGCAGTGTGAGCCCAGCATGACCTTGCATCCTACCCTCCGGGTCTCATTTCCTCTGCTGGGAAGGGAAGGAGGAGAGCCAACTGTCTAGCTTGCAGGACAGATGAAAGTACCCATTAGCAGGTAAGAGGGACAGGCCTGCCAGGACACATAGTTCAGATACTCACTTAGACCTCAGGTCTCTACCAGTGACATGCAAGTGGGTCTCCAACAGGCTTTTCTTATCCTGTTGCAAAAAGAAACAAAGCAAAATGTACTTGAGTGTGACACTTTGAACTGCTGCCTGCATGTGAAGGTGTAAGGTGCTGTCAGGATATAAACTCAGGGTACTGCTTAAGGACCAAAAGATGGCCTGTACGGAGAAGCATGTCGGACATAGACATAGTCCAGCACATACCAAGACTATGACCTGATCATTCTTTGGCTGCTCAGTGGGACTTGTCATTTGGCCAGACATTACAATCAAATTTCATGATACTGGAGAGATGGTTCAGTGGTTAAGAGCATACACTTCTCTTACACAGGACGTGACCTCTCTTCCCAGTACCCACTCCAGCAGCTCACAGCTGACTTTAACTCCAGCCTAGGGGATCCAACTTATGCTTGGCCTCTAAGGATACTGTGCTTATGTGCACAAGCCCAGAGATACATACTTACACATAATTAAAAATAAAATCTTATGAGAAAAAAAAAGTTTAATGGAATCTCTGAACACTCCCACTAATCACCCCTCACTAGACACCTAGCCTGCATCCCACCCCTCTTCTCCCCAACCTTGCAGCCATTTATTTTCTGTCTACAAAGTTGTCTGTTTCAGACATTTCCCATAAGCAAGACCATATAGCCTCGGGTCTTTTCTGCATCTCTGAGCTTATACTGCAGCTATCAGTATTGCATATCTGTACCCGCAGCTGTCTTCTGTGACGATGGAAGCTGGGCTGTCTCTACCTTAGCCATCATAAGTGGTGCACTGTGAGCGCCCACCTCAAGTTAGTCTTATAGTACCTGGTGTGTTGTGGTTGTACTTGTCAGTGTAGGTGTGCATGCAGAAGCACGTGCGTAAAACCCATAGCTTGATGGCCTGTCTTTTCTTGATTACTTTCCACCTTTTTTTCCCCCACAGTTTCTCTGTGTAACCTTGGTTGTCCTCAACTCACTCTGTAGACCAGGCTGGCCTTGAACTCACAACGATCTGCCTGCCTCATATTCCCTGAGAGCTGAGCTTAAAGGCGTGTGCCACCATGCCCAGCTCCACCTTTCTCTCTGGCCAATGAGCTTCAGAGACCCCTCCACAGCCTAACCCTGCACTACCCAGTGCAGGTCCTTGTGCTTGCATGGCAGGCACTTTCACTTTGAGTCATCTCTCCAGTCAGTCCTCCCCTTCCACCATTTAGGTTCTGAGGAACAGACCCCCATCACTAGGCTTGATGAGAAAAACCCTTTACCTGTTAAGCCATCTCCCTGGCCCATGTGACATTGTTTTTGTTTTGTTTTTCAAGACAGAGGGTCCTAGGTAGCCTGGGCTGGCCTTGAACTCACTATGTAGTTGAGGATAACCTTGAACGCCAGGATCCTCCAGCTCTGCTTCCCAAGTACAGCGACTACAATATGCCCCATCATGCCCCATTTTTGCCACCCATGTTTGGAAGGTCAGACAAGAACAAACTTACTTCAAGGCTTGTGCCAGGATAAGTCTATATCAGCCTTCAACACATGGAGTCCCTTATGCATTCTGCTTATAGTTTTACAAAAACAGCTTGATGGGCGTGGCAGTGCAGGCCTTTGATCCCAGCACTTGGGAGGCAGAGGCAGGAGCATCTGAGTAAGCCAGTCTGGTCTACAAAGCGAGTTCCAGGACAGACAGGACCACACAGAAAGACCCTGTCCCAAAACACCAAACCAACAACACAACCCCAGCTCACCTGATCATAGCACTAAGCTAGCCTCAACGTGCACTGGGCAGTTACTCACCTTCCGGAGTCTTGGAGGCAGAAACACCTCAATTGTGGCAATACCAGTTGTACGGTAGTGCTCATTTCCTGTGCCGCGCTCAATCGCTTTGCATCGGATTTCTTCTATTATGTCTTCCACTTCATTTTCACAGCACTCTAGCCGGTCAGAGTACTTCTTAGCAAGGTCCTATGAGGAAAAAGCCAAAATGATGCAATTCAATAGAGGATCAGTACAAAAGTTTTGCTTTGTTTTTTAAAATAATATCCCGGCTGGGCGGCGGTGGAGCACGTCTATAATCCCAGCACTCTGGGAGGCACAGCCAGGTGGTTCTCTGTGAGTTCAAGGCCAGTTTGGTCTACAAAGTGAGTCCAGGAGAGCCGAGGCTACACAAAGAAACCTTGTCTTGAACACCCCCTCCCCAAAAAGCAACATAACTAACTTTGACAAGCAGAGGCTTGTCAAAGGCTCCCGCCCCACCATTGTACTGAAATTCAATCTGGGCACTCAGGGAGGATTCAGGAAGAAATTAAAACCCTTATAAAGAGTAAGAGTATGCTCCATAGGGAAAGTGAGAGTAATTGGGACTACTCCAGGAGGATGAAAGGAGGGTGGGCATGCTGGGACCCCTGTGATCTTGGTATATTAAGAAATTACTCTAAGAAGCAGTAAACCAGAGCCATCAAGATGGCTCAGCAAGGAAAGGCGCTTGCAGCCAACCCTGACTCTCCGAGTCAGCCTCTGTGTCCCATAACTGACTTCTAACCTTCAAAGGACGCGCATCCCCCCCCCCCCACAACTTATTTTTAAAAAAGCTGTAAGGCTGAAGAGATGACTCAGTGGGTAAGAACATCTGTCACTCTTCCAGCAGACCTGGGTTTGGTTCCCAGCAGCCACATGGTTGTTCACCACTATCCCTAACTCCAGTTCCAGGGAATCCAACGTCCTCCTCCCTCTTTCTGGCTTCTAAGGACACCAGTCATGCATCTGGGGTGTACGCACACACACAGGCACATCAATGCATGCACTAACACATGGGTTTCACTGTATATGTAGCTCTGGCTGTCCTGGAACTTGCTCTGGGCTGGCCTCAAACTCAAGGGATCCACCTATCCCACTGAGTGCTGGGATAAAAGGTGTGAGTCACCACCACCCAGTTATTTGTTTTTTAATTTATATTTTTATTTTTTTTAAGATTTTATTATTTAGTATATGTAAGTGTTTTCCTTGCATGTATGTCTGTGCACCACATGTGTGCCCAGTGCCTGAGGAGACGGTAAGCCTCCATGTAGTAGGTACTGCAAAGTGGCCATTTTAATGTCCATGTTGCGTGTCTGTGGAGGTGCTGGTGTGACCGTGTCTTCCATGTTGCCAGTCCTGTCAGGCACAGCACACTCAGTCATGCATGTGCCGTTCCATGAGAGGAGACGGCTGCAGGATCAGCCTTGGTTCCGTTAGAGTGTGCTCCTTTGACTTTTCTGAAATAGTTTACTATGTAGAAAGCTGCAGCAACCTCAGACTGCCGTGTTTAGCCAACCAGGTGTGAACCAAACTCACACCTCAAGCATATCTTCTCACCCAGTCTCAGGGCATCCCCAGTGGTGAAGGCAAGGCTGTACACAAGCTGACTGCCCATGAACTGGTGGGCCTCCTGCCTTAGCCTGCAGACTGGTAGGATTTCTGGTGGGTACTACTAGGCTCAGCTCTATTTATTTTCAGTCCAGGAATACCTGTTATTTTTATCACTATAAAACATAATTTTTTTAAAAATAAAATACCTTAAAAATCAATTTCAGGGCCAGTCAGATGGCTCCCTGCCACCAGGAAAGCTATCTTTCTATTTCTAGAACCCACACGGTGAAAGGAGAAAACTGACTCCTGCAAGTTGTCCTCTGAGTCCCCATGTGCTCGGCCCCTCTCCCCTCAGTTCATAAACATAGGAAAGTATCACTTTCTAAAAAGTCGAAAGAGTCCCAAGCATGGTGAACACACCTGCCATCTGAGCACGCAGGAGGCAGAGAAGGAAGATCAGGAGTTAAAGGTCCTAGGGAGTTTGAGGCCAGTCTAGGCTGCATAAGATCTGTTTCAAAAAGCCAAAACAGAACAACACACCAATCAAGCTACCAACCAACCAACCATCACCCTAGTTACCTAAAACTGGTATTTTCTTCTTCTGATAGCAGGTAGTTCTGACATTAACTTTGGAGCCAACAGTTCAATCTGCCCTTGACTTCACAGGTCTTGGGGTGCAGTCCTACAGAATACCCCATGTCAGGCACCAGGTGTCAAGCACACAGTCTCAGGTTTCCTTCATTGACTGGCTACAAAGTATGGGGCTCCCAAGTTTGACAATTTGCTACAAAGACTCAGAACAAGTCCTGATTCTAGTTGCCCACAAAGATGACAAGTAAACAGAGGGACACGTGCTGGGCCCTGGGTGTCTAAAGTAGGAATCTTGGGAGCCATCACTTACATATTTTTAATGGAGGCATGCTATCAGGTATGACTGGTTAAATCCTGGGCTACTGATGATGAAAGCCTTGATTAGCCCCTCCCTCCCTGAAGCTGGAAAGCACACAGCTTCTAATCAAGGCTTCTTCCTTCTGGCAACTGTCTCTCTCCTAAGGCTGCTAGAGCCAGCAAGCCTCATTAGGATGCAAGATGCTCCTGACATCCTGGCCATTCTCAAGAGCTATAGCTCTGCCAGGAACTGCAGATAAGATCAGTATCTTTTTATAATGTCTCACTAGTTCTCAAGCCAAGACACCATAGTTCAAATGGCATTAAAAAATAGCACATACATGCCAAGGTCTGAATGTCTCCCAAAAGTTCTGTGTCAAAGGCTTAATGCACAGGGTGGCAGTGCTGGCAGGTGGTAGAACCTCTGGTGGTGGGAAGATCCTTGAGGGAAAAGCCTGCAAGGGGTTCAGGGGACCCACTGGCCACATCGTCCCTGTTCAGTTTCCTGGCTCAGGAAGGGAGAAGTTGTCTTCACCACTGGGGATGCCCCGAGACTGTGGGTGGGTGATATGCCCGAGGTGTGAGTTTGGCTGAATGCAGGGGTATGAGGTCGCTGCCGATTCCACACTGCTTGCCAGTGAAGGAGTACACACTAGCCAAACTGAGGCTGCTTCTGCAGCCGTTTGCTCTCAAGAAAAAGCAGATGCGGTGACAGCATGACTGTGTGCTGTGCTTGGCAGGACTGGCAGCACGGTCCTCATCTTTGTCCTGAGGCTTGTCACCATGTGCCACCTTTGGCAAAGTCCCAAAGCTTCAGGACCACTCAAGCTTGAGGAACCCCCAGAACCATGAACCAAAATTACCCTTTACTCTTTATAATTTTCTCCAGCTACTATATTATGGCTCAGGTGATTAATACAATGCCTGGGGAATCAGGTAACATAAGAATGACATGCTGCTGGAGAGATGGCTCAGTGGTTAAGAGCATTGTCTGCTCTTCCAAAACATGTGGGTTCAATTCCCAGCACCCACATAGCAGCTCACAACTGCCTGTAATGCCAATTGCTAGGGATCTGTCAACTTCACACTAATGCACATAAAATAAAAAAAATTTAAATAAATTATTAAAAAAAAAAAAAAAGATGACATGCCAGTAATAGAACTGGAGGTAGGGAGGAGTGGCTTCACGAAGTGCTTGCCTAGCCTGTGTGAAGCCCTGGATTCACAGGGCTGAAAAAAAAAAAAAAAAAAGGTGGGAATTTGTGCATGACTAATGGTTTTGGTGCTTCTCAAACTTTCCACTGCTGTGCCTGGTAATTTCTGGTGACTTCAGAATAGTGTTTACTAAGGAGGTACAACACCGAAAAAGATTTAAATGTTAAAAAAAATACCTTTAAAGGCCAGGTAGTAGTGGCTCGAGCCTTTAATCCCAGTGCTCGGTCAGCAGAGGCAGGCAGATCTCTGTAAGTTTGAGGCCAGCCTGGTCTACAAAACAAGTTCAGTGCTACACAGAGAAACCCTGTCTCAAAACAAAAAAGTGAAAAATACCTTCAAGGCCAAACCAACTTCTTTATTTTCATCAGTATATGGAGGTTTCCAAAGCTGAATTCTGTCTTCCCTTAGAAACTGGGTCAGTTTTGCTTGAAGATATTTCTTCTGTGCCATCCTTGAAAGTAAAACTGTAAATCAATAAAACCCACATTACATTTCAAAATGTTTTCTAGGTTACCTAATCCACTGAGGTAAGGAAAGGAAAGTCCCCCTCTGTGCCTCTGTTAGCTTAACCTAAACTACTGTATTCAATTATATAAAAGGCAACATAAATTTTGTTCTTCTTGTTGTTTTCCAACCAGGGTTTCTCTGTGTAACCTTGACTGTCCTGGAACTCAGTGTGTCAACCAGACTAGCTTCAAAACCTGCCTCTGCCTCCCAAGGGCTGGGATTAAAAGCATGCAAGATCATACCCAGCTTAAAATGTCCACCTCAAACTTGCTAATATGTAGCAAGGAGTAGTATACTCTCCTGTTTTATATTAGCTATTATGTGTGCTGGGCCTGAGCTCTGCTCAGTAAGAGCCCAGCCCTACCTCTCAATTTCTTATGCTGATATTCTCAAAAAGTTAAGAAAAGGGGCTGGCTCAGGAGTTAAGACCACTGGCTGCACTTCCAGAGGACCTCAGCTTGGTTCCTAGCACCCAAATGGTAGTTTACAATTACCTATAACTTCAGTTTCAGGGGATCTAAGGTCCTATTCTGGTATACAGACATACATACGGGCAAAACTCCCAAACACATAAAATATATATATATATTTTTAAAGACAAGACAAACCCTTTAGCAACCCAATCTATAGCTTATAAATTCTCTTACACTTTGGCTGCTTTGAACCATCAGTAATGTTTATGTAGTTAAACTTTGAAGCTTAAAAAGTTAACAAGGTACAATGATGCACACCTTTAATCCCAGCGCTTGGGAGGCAGAGACAAGTAGAGCAATATAAGTTCCAGGCCAGCCTTTCAAAAAAATTTTTCAATAAATAAAATTAAACAATTTATAACTACACTACTTCACTTTGTGTTATTTTATTTTTGTTTTGTTTGAGACCAGGTCTCAGTTTGTAGCCCAGGCTGCCCCAAACCTAAAAGCTGTAGCCTACACGGTGCCTGGCTAACAACAGGCATGAGCCATCACACAGGGCTCACGTGATTTGTTTCTTGGTTTTGTTTTCACTGGTCCTTTTGGGAGCCCAATAGCACATTTACATCTGTTGTTCAATCTAATTAGACTGATGTAGAGAGCTGGGCCATTTTACTGCTGGGAAGCCCCAGACCCCAGGTTTGTAAAACTACAAAATAAGCCAGAACTGCCATGAGACATCTGTCTTCAGTATGGACTCCGCTTTGTCTCACAATCCCTTGCTGCTTGTCCTTAGCATGTAACCTCTCTTTTCTACATCTCCCACCAGCACAGCTGTTCCACTGGGGGGAGGTGGGAGGAAGGAGGCTGCTGAGAGCCACTGCAGCTGGAATTCGACAAATCAAACAAAGTAGGAAGTTACTCATTCCTGATTAATGAACATGAAGTTCAGAAAGTGGAAAAATGTGTTACTATAATTTAAATGTCGCTTTCTCCCCGCCCCCATGGAGGGCTAATACTTTACAGCCTCCTAAGTCTAATCCACCTGATCTTTAAGCCAAGTGTTGCTCCTCAAAGCAAGGCACGTCAGAGCATTTGCTTTGCAAACACTAGTCTCTTAAACCAAACACAAGATTCATTATAGGAATTCTGAGAAAAAGATCACCGCCATGTAATTTATTTTCAGATTTTCTTTTGTTTGAATTCTGAACCACAGTCTGGGCCACTCTTAAACTTACAGGGGCTGCCTGGAAAAATAGCAAGGAACTGAACCCTAGACTCTCAGATTCAGGCTCAGGAGCCTCATCAATTGAGCCATCCATGCCTCTCAGATCACTGCCATCTCATAAGGAGGGTGACAGGGATAATTTACCAGCACCCAGCTATTTAGAGGGTTAAAAACAGCCTTCCAGACTGTGACCAGTACAGTCTGACAAAAGGAACCAAGGTTATCACAACCCTCATCTGTGTCCCACACTGCTGCCAGATCTACACAACATACCTCTGTTGTTTGTTTGTTTGTTTGTTTTCCAAGACAGGCTTTCACTACTTAGGTTTGGCTGCCCCAGAACTCACTCTGTAGACCAGGCTGGACTTGAACTCGGAGATCCTCCTGCCTCTAACTCCCGAGTACTGGGACTAAAGGTGTGCCCCACTGTGCCCGGTTTAACGTAAGATTTAATGTTAAAAAAAAAAAAAAAATTAACCCACCGTCGCCGGCCATAGTGTTGCACGCCTTTAAACTCAGAATTATGGAAGCAAAAGGTGGCAGACCTCCATGAGTTTTGAGGCTAGTCTGGTTTACATATTGATTTCTAGGCCAGTCACAACTGCATAGTGAGACACTGCCTCAAAATCAATCAATCAATCAATCAATCAATCAATCAATCCTGAATTCAAACGTATGAGACGCTAGATACAGGCAACAGATGACACGTGTTAGTTCAAAAGGAAGAAAATCTAATGGCCCAGTTTTCAATTTTAACTGGAGAACCGTGTCTCATGTATGTCGCTGGGCGTTTCACTTCATAACGCGGAAAGGCCCTAAGTCCTGAATATCAGCGCTCAGAACCGAAAGTGAAACGTCAGGAATTAACGTTGAAATGTTCATTTTCACTTCTGTAATGGATCAAACCCAGACTGTCCACAGCCTCACGCACACTGAACACACATTCCCTCTCGGGGAAATGACACGCGATTAGGTTCTCGTATTTAAGAGAAGGAGAAGGGGAGGAGGCGAGAACAGTGCGGGTCCAGAAAGCTCGCCTTGTCACCCACCGCGATCCGCTGCCCGCACACGTCAGCCCCGGGGCAGAGCGCTTGGCGCAACTCGGTCTGACCGCAGCTGCCGGTGCCCTTTGCCTCGGTCCCGCGGTGACCTCCTCCCGCCCCGTCCCAAGCCCGCCCCGCAGCGTCCACCCGCCGCTCCCGCCGCCCGCCCGGCTGCGCAGCCTGGCCCAGGCCCGGGTCGCCGCCCGCCGCGGCCGCCTCACCTGCGCCACCGCCGAGCCAGCCGCGACCCGCCGAGTGCCCGGATGCCGCAGAGGCCGCCGTTTGTTTTCATTCCGGGTGAGGCCGGCCCCGCCCCCGCCCCCGCCCCCGCCCCCGCCCCCTCGCGCCGTCCGGAAGGCGGGTCGTGGGTGGGGGCTGCATGGAGGGGTGGGGCTGAGGAGCTAGGGCGAGCGGAAGACTGGGACCAGAAGGAAGGAAGCCGGGAAAACGCGGCTGTGGGTGGGGCTATGCTTGGTGGGCGTGGCCGACGTGGGGCGGGGCCAGGGCAAAGATGGAGGTGGGGAGAGTGTGGGAGGGGCGGGACTAGTGTAGCCCGGTGGAACGGAGCGGGTGGGGCGGGGGCCGAGCTGGAAGTCAGGCGATCTGTGGGCGGGGCTTGCAGCCTGCCGGCGAGGGCTAATATGGGGAGGGGCGAGGTGGAGCGGTTAGGTGGAGGGGGAGGACTGGGAGCGAGGCGGGGGCGGGGTGAGGGGGAGAAGGGGCGTGATGCGGAATGGGCGAGAGGCAGTGCGAGCCTAGAAGCTGCAGGCAACCGACTCTTCGGACTTCTAGACCCAGTTTTTCTGAGGTCACAGGAAATTGAATCTGGCTTTGTTCCCCAAAAAGCCTTGACAGAGGGTAGAGCAAGACTGTTTTCCTGAACCTTTTCCCTCCACTAGGCCTAGGGGGTCCCCCTAAACTGAAGGATCCTCACAGCACCCTCCAGGTGCGGCACACAAGCCCACCAGGGTCCCTGCTCCTGATGAAGTTAAGTAGGCCAGATCCCCACGCCTCCAGCTGCCCTGCTACTCATTTCCACCCGCTCCCACCGTGAATACAGTGTCTATGGACGTCTGCTTTGCCCAGCGCTGTGAAAAACACCAGTGTCTAACTGGCATGTGTCCTTATGTCTAGGTAAGGGAAAATCCAAGCAGGCATAAGAAATGAGCTAAGCTCCCCCCTTGAGAAACGGAACAATGTTCTGGTGTTGAGACCTCTCTTGCCTGAGCTAACCTGCAGGAGCACGGCATCCAGAGGAAAGCCCAGGAACCCCAACAAGGAGCTTGCCAACTGCCAGCCTGTCGGTGAGGCTACATTGATCATTCAGCACCCGCTTCCCACACAAGGTGCGAGAGCCCAGCACAGACCCACTGAGAGTCTGGCCTCTGTGAATCAGGAGCTAAACAAGTTATTATGAGTTTCAGATTGCAAATAATTTGCAATGCCCCAAAACTGACATAGCTTCAATGTCAAGCAAAAGTAACTGAGAGTTAACCCGAGAAAAGAAAATCTGTAGGTAACTGTTACTACTCGAAACGAATTGTTAAGGCCATTACCTTTTCTTCTTTGCAACTAAGTAATTGATTACATCCCGAAGGGAAACGATTCTTTCCTCCCAAAGATCCTGCTCCCGCTCCGTTTTTATAAATCCGTCTTTCTGTAGATGATTTTAAAGTTTTCTCCTGGGGTTATGGTAGCATATATTTTCATTTTTAAAATTTTATTGAGAGCTACTGCATATGGCTTATAATATTCAAATTTAAGCTATGTGAATTAATGCTTTTCAGTATATTTGAAGAGTTGCTTCCATAACCACAGATAATTTAAAAACATTTCATCATCGTATAAAAGAGGAAACAGGGGGCTGGAGAGATGGCTCAGAGGTTAAGAACACTTGCTGTTCTTCCAAAGGTCCTGAGTTCAATTCCCAGTCAACCACATGGTGGCTCAGAACCATCTATAGTAAGATCTGGTGTTCAGGCAGAATGTTGTATAAATAATAAATAAATCTTTAAAAAAAAAAAAAAGAGGAAACAGAGTTAAAAAGTAAAGATTTTTTTCCTTTTCTATTTACAAAAGAGAATTGAATGCAGTTTATAGGAGGTGGCATTCAGAGGAGATTGTTGTGATGGTTCATGATTTCAGTACGGTAGACTTTTGGTTTTACTTATTGTCCTAGTCTCATATGCATGGCTGTGATAAAATAACCTGACAAAAAGCATAATGGGAGGGGGTGCTGGAGAGATGGCTCATCGGTCTTGCTCTTCCAGAGGTCCTGAGTTCAATCCCCAGTAAGCCACATGGTGGCTCCCAACCATTTATACTGGGATCTGGTGACTCTCCTGGCGTCCAGGTGTACATGCAGATAGAACACTTTTATAAGTAAATATATTTTAAAAAAATCATAGGAAAGGAAAGAAGTTATTTGGTTTACATTTCCAAGTTACAGTCTGTCACTGGAGGGAAGTCAAGGCAGGAACTTTGACCATCTCTTTCTGCTGTTAGTAAAGTAATACTCACAGATTTTGTAACACTACTGAGGCCAGTGAGTCTATTTGTCCCCAGAGGGTGAGAATGGTCTGAGCCACCCATTGGAGATCCTGGATAACTTAAATGAAAACCGATGGTAAATAGCTAGGAAAGTAGTTAACCTTGCTGCTCCAGTGGTCATGCAAGTGGTTACGCCCAGGACTCCTAGAAAGGCTATGACATGATATGTCATTTATCACACTGTGCTACTATAAACCCAGTGATGGGAACTGGCAAGGATTCTTCATAGGGTACTACTCCTAACTGTGGGAAAAGGAACACCAGGGCACAGGTCCTAGACCACCCAGTAGGTAGGCAGAGATATACTTTCGTGCCACAGGTAATTGAGGCAGTGTGAAGTTTCTGCATAGGTGGCTTGGTTAAGATATCATTACAGTCTGCAGAATCCAGTGTGCCCACAGAGCATACTGAGGAACTAAAGCAGTCTGTGATATTGAAGAGAGAGATGTGGGAGAGATAAGGGTTGGTAGTGATATTTGGCTTAGAGCAATTAAGAAGCAGTGAAGTAAGAGAATCTAGTAAGACAATGGGAGAGACACAAATGGTGCTGGTGAGTTTGACCCAGGAGGGACACACAGCCGGTATTCTTCAAAGTGGCCAGGTAGAGCATTATTCAGTAGCTAATATACAAAGGTTAAGGTTTGAAGCTAGAGATGGTGTGATGGGAGGGGGGTGGCTGTGGAGAGATGCTTGTTTATCAAGCTGCTTTGTTATTGAGTGTTCAGGGAAAAAACATGTGTTTTTACCCTTGTCTTCACCTTGAGACAGAGAAAAGAGGATATTTCTCCAAGTTCCTTAAAACCTGTTTGTGTGACCTTGGACCATATCTGCTACAGGGAAGTAATTTAGAAGAAAACAAGTTTGGCATTTCCATGAACTTCTTTCTTATATTGACGTGACTTGTTTTTGTTTTGCCTATAAAAGGGAATTGTGGAATAAGCTTGGGGCTGCAGTCTCGAGCTGATCCCACTTTAATCATTTCAATCCTCTGTCCCCATTCAGGTACTGTTGGACTCTGCCAGTGGGCTCCGACAGGTGGCTGTGATGGCTGCCATAGTAAAGTTTAACAATGACCTCCATATCCCGTCTGGTGTGACATGGGTCTTTAATTAGAATATAAAAGCTTTTTTGTTTTTTTTTGTTGGATCATTTGTTTGTGCAGTGACAGAAGTTGCCATCATTGAAAATTGAGCATGCCAATTTTGGTCATTTGAACTGTACTGGGGCCAAGCTGTTTTTGGTAACAGAGTGAGGCTTTAATAAAATCAGAGTCCATGAAGGAAGAGAAAAAGGGTCACAAAACAAACTGCTGGAGGAAATTTCTATGAGCTCCAAGTGGGAGCTGAGAGGCAAAGATGCCCAGGAGGGCATAGAGAAGCCCGTGAAACTTCCAGGACGGAGCTGCAAGGCAGGAGAGACAAGGTTGCAGAGGCCCAGAAGAGAAGTTGTGGGTCTTAGCAGGCAGCTTTTAGGGGAGGAGGTAAGGAAACAGGAGAGTTCCAATAGAAGAACAAGTGTCTTAAAAACTAGAAAGATGCCCACATGGCGAGGCTCCAGAGAGTGTAGCAGGCTCAAGGAGTTAGAGAAAGGCTCCTTAACAAGTACGCAAGGAGAGATGATTGGTCAGAGTGAAAGGTTAGAGTTAATTCCTGGGGCTGGGGCTGGGGCAGAATCACAAGGCCACATTCCTTTCAGAGCAGAGGGCTAGCCCAGAGGCTAGGGCAGAATCACAAGATCACATTCCTTTCAGATAATGGGCCAGCAGCAGTCCCCACCCAGATAAACCTCAGGGTATGACTGGAGTCACATGGCCCCTAAGAACTAGAGGTCAGATGTCTCCCAGGTAGCTAGGGCTGACCGTTAGCAGTCTTGGCGCCTAAAAATAGACCAATCATTTTAAAGGTCAGCTTCCCTGTGTTTTGTTCCTCTTACCCAATCCTGTAATGCCAAGGCTTGTACTACCCCACTGGTGTTTTTTGTTCCTTTAAAAACCTTGATCTCCCAGAGCTGGGTTCGCTTGCTCCAGGGGTCTTTGTAAAGGGCAGCCACCCGGGCTCGAGCTTGTAATAAAAAGACCCTCACGTGTTTTGCAATGGAGTCGATTCCTGTAGATATTTTGGGGGCTCGTGAACTGGATGTGAGAGACCAAGGGATAAAGTAGCAGCTATCATTAAAACCTAGAGTAGGTGCGGTAAAAAGTTAGTAATGCCCTGAGGGGAGAGCTACCTCACTGCATTCTTTCCCCACCCACTAGAAATACGGTTGCTAGGAAACTGGACCCTCCCCCTAGGGAGGGACACCTGGTCATGGTCAATGGTCTGGGAACCTTCCTAGAGCCAATCGATTCAAAATGTAGCATCTTGACCAATAGATGCTTGCCAGGCAGGAATTGCCCCTGCCTTGGGTATGCTGGGAGGGACCAGAATCTATAAATTACCCAACTAACCTGGGGACACGCTCAGCTCCCACCGCTTTGGCACTTCGGCGGTGGGGCTGTGTAGGCCCAAGCTGCAACTTGTAATTTACAATAAAAAGACCCTCATGTGTTTTGCAACGGAGTTGATTCCTGTAGATCTTTGGGGGGCTCGCGAACTGATAGGTATAACAGGTGTAACATTAGCAGGTGGAGGAAAGAAGCTTCTGGAGAGGAAGACTCTAGAATTTGGAACCAAATATGATAGGTGGCAGAAGCCAGCAGAAACAAATGAGCTGTATACACTTTAAGAGAGTC